GGAACCCGTGTCAATGATCAAAGAAGTTACTGGGGGAAAAAAAATCGCTGGATTGAAAATAAAATTGGTCCATGAAATACATGAAAAAAGTCCACGCAACGAGATTGTTCCCACAGTAACTGCATCTGATACTTTCACCTTCCACTGCTTGTTTCTGAATTGTTTCAAGCAGGAGAAAGTTGGACTAAAATAATACAGGATGTGAGTTTCAGGACTATCTAATATCCTACTGCTTAGTTGGTGTTTTAAAGGTGGGAGAGTTTTATAATTACTCTCATGGCTGTTTTCCTTCCTAAACTGTATGATCATCAAAACTACCTCTGAAATCGTCACTCAAGACAAGACTCAAACAACAAGAATTCTGTTTGAAGCCCAGGGAAAGGTGAAGATCACCTCTTGAGTTTGGTCCATCTACAAAGATTTACAAAGACTGGACATCACAGAGACAGGCCCAAGTAGTCCGTGCTGGTGTTTACTCTCCACGCAAGTCTCCACCCATTCTTTTACTCTCATGTGAAGATTTAGCTTCCGCTTGAATGCATCTCATTATCTGATTCAACCACCGCTTCAGGTAATGAGTTCCACAGTCTCACTACCCTCTGGGTGAAATAGTTCCCCCTAAATGCTCATCTAAACCTTCCTAGTCAGTATCGTATACTTGTCTCCCCGGTAAAGGATTGTCCAACCAGGGAAACAGCCTTTTATTGCTAACCGTATGAAACCCTTCTTTACATCCCCCCCTTAAATAGCCTCTTCTCGCGTGGAAAAAAAAAGGCATAGCCTACCCAGGTTCATCTATCCTGGAGCAGATCTGAACAGGTTAGACAGGAAATTGGTTCAGTGTAGGCCTGCTCCAGATCTTCGTGTTATTGACCAGAGCCAGTTGGATGCTGAGGACTCAATTTAATTGACGCTGTCTCGCTAGGGAGCCTGTTAAGACACAGTTGTCCTACAAGCTGAGACCATGTGAATTTCCAATCCTCAGATGCGCAGACCTCAAGCACAGCACTGAGAAGTTACATCTGATATTATAGATTATTCAAATGTCAATGCCTATCATAGTATTCCATCATTAAATTTCAACAGAGTATCCGAATGGAATCCCGCTGACTAAGATATTACAGTGCTATGTAAATTAATTGACTACATTGTCGGAACAGACCTGTTCAATGTTTAAAGAATTATTTAACATAAAAACAATCTGAACCTTCCAGCCTTGGTACAGAGCGCCACGCTAAGCAAACATGCANTTTTTTTGATTCTTAACTGTAAGCTGAGATTCAAAATATTTATTTGAAGATGCATTTGTCAAATGGAGAAATACTTTATTTCGCTGTAAGTGCCACTTAAGGGTTGGTCGGCCTGGAATCTGTGGTTTCAGTTAGAATTGAGTTAAATAAAGGTCATAGAATGTAATATAAAATATCCTGCTTTTTTCTTTATCGCCCTCTCTCTGAGGCAAGGTCTGTCTCTGCTTCACTGTCTAATGCAAGAAATAACCCAGATACCATCCTTTCATCTTAGAGGCAGTTAAATGGTGAAAAATAAATGTCCATTTGGTACCAGGGTCCAACATGAAAGAGAGAACAAGACTCCTTAATTCTGAGACCGAGTGAAGTGTTTTTTTTAAATTAAACAAACATATGGAATCCTACACCCTTCACTTGAATCCCATATCCCGCCCGAGGAATTGTTCAATTGTGCCTTTCACTCAGAAGCTCTCAGCTCAGCCCTTTGAGACCCAACTCGTTGAATGAATCTTTACTTTATACATTATATGTGTAAAAAAATCGATTAAACATTTCGCTGCTCAATAAATAATGCAGTAAAATACAAATTTTGCAATTCAATATGGTTTAGAACATTTCCCAGCCTTTATCCCCCAGATAATAATAATCATAATAATAGTAATAATAATCCTTGAATTTGATATAGTGCCTCATCACATTTTCGAGACGTTTCAAAGTACTTCACAGAATACACTGTAAAGCGAATTGGCTGTATATTTTCTGGGTGAAACATGGGAGCCAATTGCACACAGCTAATGCATATAATATATACATATAGGAACAGGAGATGACCCTCAAGCCTGTTCCGCCATTCTATTAGATAATGGCTGATCTGTACCTCAACTCCAAATAATCAGGTTTGACTCCACTTCCTGAAATATGTTAGAAACCGATGGAATATCTTTGGATCTTTCTCTTCGCGACTCGAAAATGATCATTGAATCACAGCGCAAGTGCGATAAACCCGAATGGCCTCTTATCTGGAGGCCTGATTCCATTTGATGCCATGTCAATAACTGTCACTTTGGTGTGGGTGAGTGTAATCACACGAGGGTGGACAGGAAAGCGAGGCCGGTGTTTCAGCAAGGACAGGGGTCGAGCAAAATGTGTCTGTGTGTATAGAGATAGGAGTACTTGTAAATATACATTTGGATTGCTTACTTTACCTGTTGCCAGCTTACATCGATTTGTGCATCCCTTATCCTGGGGGTGTGCAGGAGAAGCTCATTGCCCACTTATTTTCTAGAGGCAACAATCTCCAAGTGTCTGTGGCTAGCACTTGATGTGTGATTTGGTAATAAAGCCATAACGCCAGCAATATGCAGCTAAATGGAACAACTGTGTGTCCGAGTTTCCTGAGCAAAGGCTTGTTCGCTGTGCGTGAGACGTTGGCCTAAGCTTGAAGGAAACTAAAACTCACAAGGGAGAGAAAGATTTGGGAACGAGAACGGGCCATAAAGCTCATCTTTGCCGTGGCGACTCCGAACGTTACCTTGTTTTATACTCCGGGCGAATAATGGAAGGCAAAGTTGGGCAATATTGTGTCGCGTTCAGGAAATTGGGAGCAAAGAGTCAGTAACAAAGGGAGCAATGAGAATTAATGTTCCCCAAGGATTGGAGCTGGGACCCCAACTCGGGTACACACACACACACACACACACACACACATACACACACCCACACGCAAACTGACCCACACAGCTTCATACACGTACACAGTCACTATTCCCTGTCTTGTAACAGCAAAGAGAGGATTTGGGAAGCGAATGCAGTGTCCACATTCCATCCCTAATTCCCGTTACTCCAGCCTTTTGATGACTTTACTGACAGTGTGATTGTGTAGCTAGATTTCCAGTGGCTTATACGCCTGTTTATGTATTTCATGATAATAATGACAAACCCCAGACTTCTTTCTTTGCGTCTCTGTTTCTGTTTGCGTATCAATTGGTTGGTGAGGGCAAATCCGGCCGGAATCATGAATAATTACCCCTTGAATATTTTAACAACGTGAAAAACATGTTGACGATAATAATCAGCCGCTTAACTTGAATTTCCATTTTTGTTCACTGAAAGAACAGTCGGAGAAACACATTATTGTTATAAAACTTGATTTAAAAATATAATTAGCGGGAATACAATAGAGGTTTGCACTTACTTTGCTGTTGGATCATCTCCCGTCACTGCACCTTTGAAGATGGCAGTGGTTGAAGCTAATTAGTGAAACTAAAACAAAATAATTTCCCTGTGTAATAGCGAATAAGCGATGCAGCTATTGAGATGCCCTGAGCATTGAGGTGGGACACAGAGAGAGAGATGGTGAAAGCACTTGTCAGCCTTTGATCCAGAAACAAGACAGATCTCCCGCACACAAAGACATGTACTTGGGGATTGGAAAAGACGTTGAATTTCATTCTCAAGCCAGAGCTGCGGGTGAGGGGGGGGGGAAGCTGTAATATCAATCAATAATAATAATAATAATCCTTGCATTTGATTTCGCCCCTTCGAGACGTTTCAAAGCGCTTCACAGGATATACTGTAAAGTGAATTGACTATGTATTTTGTGGGCGAAACGTTATTAGTAACATCGTTCTTGTCAAAACCTTCACTGTGTACGATTACAATATTTTAAAGGTGGATTTTACTCTTGATCAGGGGCGTAACAAAGCCCCCCGATTCCTAAAGCTAAATCGTTGCTCGTGTACCGTACCAGTCCATACCAGCCCACCCCGAGCACAGGAGACAGGGAAGTATTTCTGAAATGCACTCAAATATTTTTTGGTGGTGGGGGCGGGCAGTGATATGTTTCCGCTGCTCCCCAATGGGTTCCGCTGCCGATGGGTTGCTGTGACTGCACCAGTTACACAATTGTACTCACGCCGTTGTTTTCCATCCATAATATTTGGTCTTGCACAACAAGGCACGCTCCCTCCACGTTGTCTAAGCTATCACTGCAATGCAGCGATGGGGGCTGTTGCATTTTCGGAGACGCCACCTTTCGGATGAGACGTTAAAACCGAAAACCAAAGGTATTCGAAAACCAAAGGGAGTTTCTCTCTCTCTCCCGGTGTATCCCGGCCAAACAATCCCACAAATAAAATTGATGACTCAATCCACGACTGTTCGTGGGACGCTGCCGTGCGCATTTGGCCGCCGCGTTTCGCCCACAAAATTCACGGTCATTGCGCTTTACAATACACCCTGTGAAGCGCTTTGGGGCGTCTCTCGATGACGTGATAAGGCCCGACGCCAAATGCAAGGATTATTTATTTTTATAATTATTATCATGACGACTGGTTCAAAGACTTCTGCAGCGAAGCAATGAAGCAAGGCTAGAGGCCGGGGTGCAGATATCTGAGCCGTGTGTAGTATTTGTGGACTAAATAAACAATCTGTTGATAGAACAGTTTGACATTGCACAGCAGGGCTGGGCTATTATTTACGAAGCATACACCTGATTACCTCTGCAATCGCTGTGAATAGAAACTGTGGCCATCATCAGCTTAGTAAACGCAGATGCTGCAAGTTTCTCTCCATGTCGGTTTGTGCTCAGCACATTCCGGGCTTCACAAACACAGCTCAGGGTAATCATCTGTTTTGTGCCCACTTATTGTGGCAACACAATGCTTTCGTGCAATGCTGGGCTTTTTTTTTGCCACCTCTGACAAAACAGTGTGGGGAGAGTGACTGGACTGTGTGTTGTGCGGCTGGAGCCTGCAGACTGCTGAGAGAGTGAGTGAGTGAGTAAGTGACCACAAACAGGGGAGCCCAGGGTAAGAAAGATTATTTTTTTATTGATCTACATTTATCTGTATAAAAAGTCACGACTGTGGGTGCTATGATCTTTGTTACGCGGGTTCGTATTTTTCATCCTGCCTTTAACTTTAAAACTCTCAAACGCTTTGTCGAAGGGGAGGACGTGAATTTACTTAACGTGTGATTCCGTTGCTGGGGCGAACGCCTCTCCAGTGCAAAGCCTTGCTCTATTCTATGTGTCTCGTGGTGTGTAAAATGTCAAACTGTGCTGCAAACCATAACCATACTTGCAATTTAATATAGAGTGTAATGTCATAGTGTTGCACCCTGTTGCATTCATTTAACAGTCAACCCTAATCTACACACTTTACTGGTAATTATACCTGTTCACTTAAAGTCCAACCCTCAACTTGTTTGCGCCTGTCCTGACTATAGCTTATCCCATCACGGTGAGGTTATGGACAGTGAAGCTAACATTGATCACATTGTAATCCGGGGTGAGACTGAGTGAGTGTAAGTGAGAATTTGCTATCATTTGCCCTGTTGCTGTAACGCTCAGTTCCTCCCCGTTTGGCAAAGCTCCTCCTCTGCATTTATACCCCTTGAGACTTGCCAAACTGCGGCAGGAACCAATCCGTGGAAACGCCCGAAAAAACAGGCAAAAAACGTTTCCCTTAGAAGGTGTTTCGATTTATTCTATAACCCATCATTGTAATTTTTTTCAAGTTGCAGTTATCAAAGTGTGTGTGCGCGCGCGCGCGCGCGTGTGCGTGTGTATGTGTGCGTGTGCGCGTGTGTACCTTAGGTAAGTTTCCTTACTCCACTCGCCTCTGTTTACTTGGCAGTAAGTAAGGCGCCCGGTTGCTCGTGAATGGACGGATCACTTTCCGGGGATAATAATCCCTTCAAAAAAACAACACAATAATTTGGTCACTCGATCCTCGACTGTGTGCCCGGACACTGCGAGACGCGATTGGCTGCCGCGCTTCACCCGCAACATGCGCAGCCGATTCGCTTCGCGGCATATTCTGCGAAGCGCTTCGAGGGGTCTCAGCCACGCGACGAGGCGCCGAATCGAGCGCCAGGGTCATTATGAGAAGGAGGACGCGGGTGGCAATCAGGTGGTGAAGCGACGATCGGGCGCTCACCGATGTGTCCGAGTCCGTCGCTGGGTGTGGGGACGGTGCTAACTCGCGCCTTTCCTCTTCGCAGCGAGAATCTCGGCAACAAGATGTACAGTTTCATGGGAGGAGGCCTGTTCTGTGCCGGCGTGGGCAACATACTGCTCGTCGTTTCCACGGCGACGGATTACTGGATGCAATACCGTCACTCCGGCAATTTCATGCACCAGGGCCTCTGGAGATACTGCGTGCCGGGCAAATGTTACATACACACTGACAGTGTCGGTAAGCGCACCGTCTGCCCAGCGAATCAGCCGTACATCAATGCGGAGGGTGGTGGTGGGGGGTGAACCAATGCCAGCCTGACCCATGCGGAAACCCATCGCCATGCTTAAGGGCGCCCAACTCACAGCAGCCCGAGAGCTCCACGTACGCACGCCACCCCCCACACGTGGAAATTTTCCCCCCCCCCCGCCCCCACACGCCAACAACGTCCAGTTTAACCGCAAAAATCCGACTGGACGTGAGCGCGTGAGCAGATAGCGTGTTATCAATGACCAGGGACGTATCAAATCGCGTAGCACATACGATCTGGTAACAGGAACATGAGAGGCTCTGCACCAAATGTAAAGATTATTATTATTACTGTTATTATTATTATTATTATTATTATTATTATATAAAGGACTTCACCATCAGGAAAGGCAGCTGCTAGCCTCATGTGATTCATCAAAATTGGAAAGATTGGGCTGAGAAAGACCCTTTTAAATGGGAGGGAGATTACGGAGAAGTATTAATGTATGTTTTCAATACAGACTGGTTGAATTATTTTCTTCTTGCTGTGGTTTGACATAAATAACGGAAACGAACAGGATCGTGCTCTTGCCTTCAAGGCCAGCGACAATTCTGTTTGACCTTAAATAATAATCAATAATAATTAGCATTAATTAATTAATCATAATAATAAATTGGTCACTTCAAATCCACGACTGAGACTACTGTGCGCAATTGGCTGCCACGTTTCATCCACAAAATATACAGTCACTGCACTTTACAGTCTATCCTGTGAAACGCTTTGAGACGTCTCGAAGACGTGATAAGGCGCTGTATCAAATGCGAGGATTATTATTATTATTATTATTATTATTATCATCATCTCACGCTTCTGTTCTCTCTTTCCAGCGTATTGGGATGCCACACGAGCGTTCATGATCCTTTCCCTCCTTGCATGTTTCATTGGCATAGTCATTGGCATCATGGCTTTCACCCATTACTCCTCCTTCAACAGATTTGATAAAACGTTTGCGGCGGGCATCCTGTACTTCACTTCATGTGAGTTGGGGGAAACCTAACAGCAGCGCCTTGGGACGTCCTCCCGACGTGGAAAGGCGCTGTGTGCCAATGCGATTTGTAGTCGAAACCAATTCGCAAACCGTCGCGACCGATGACCGGAGCGGATGCTGGGCTTTTCCTGCGCTAACGGCGGGCTTTGCGTTGCAGGTATCTTTGTGTTACTGGCCATGGCTATATACACCGGGGTGACGGTAAATTATTACGGCAAGCGCTATGGCAATTGGCGCTTCTCCTGGTCCTACATCATAGGCTGGGTGGCTGTGGTCCTCACCTTCTTTGCAGGTAAGAACCAGAACGACTCTGGAAAACACCGAAACACACCCCCCCCCCCACTTTGCCGGATCAGCTCTGCCTAAATGCTCAGGCGTTAGGGTGGAAATTGTGACGTGCGACATGATTATTCGCTTGCTAGATGGTTGGGATGGAATGTGAACGCTCTCTCTCTCTCTCTGCCTGTCATCCGCTGTGTACGAGTGGCTGCACTTTTTCTTTCGCCCGCAAAACCCACGGTCACTCCACTTTACAGCGTATCCCCGTGAAGCGCTTCGAGACGCCTCAACGACGTGATAAGGCGCTGTGTCAAATGCAAGGATTATTATTATTATTAACCCCTGGCCTTGCAAAAAAAAAAAAATCGGTTTATCTTCAGCGTTGCCCCTCAGCGTGGGTCAACTGACGTAACCGAATCCAACGCTATGTTCTCTTCCAGGAATTTTCTACATGTGCGCTTACCGCATGCACGAGAGCCCACGAAGTCCAGCTCCTCGTTAGAATCAAGAAGACATTTAAACAGTGGAAAACTACGGAGGACAGACAATAAGTATTTAATGTCCAGTATTATCAAGCGGTACTTTTCCATTCTCTTTGAAACGGCTAATGACTTTAGAGAGTTAATTAGTGAGACTGTAGACACAAACTGAAAGAAATTGAGGCTGAATTCCTGAAGCTAACGATTATACTGTACTTTCCCAATTACCCCATTCTGAGGAATAAAGTTTTTAAAGAGGCTTTGGACGCATGTTTAACTTTTTTCGGGAACATAGTGTGGAATTTCTCTACCAGGTAATAAAGTGATGCACAGGTCATTGCTTAACGTATGTCTTTATTTATGAGACGGCATTTATTTCTATTTACTCATATTTTTAGTGTACTGAGCCAAAAAGTGAGATTAAATTGAAGTCATGGTTTTTCTTAGTTCTGCCTAATATGGACTTTTTTATTACTACTAATAAAAGTGAATCTATGTTCCAGAAAAGAGCTGTCTTATTCTTAAATAGTCTTGATGAAGTATTCTAGAAAGTAGAACTGTTTACCTCGCAGTGAGTAGGAACCCGGTTGTTAGTCAATTGGCAGATTGTTTTCCGGGGGGTAATAGACCCCTCAAAAAAAAATACTAATAATTTAGTCACTCAATCCACGACTGCTTGTGGGACACTGCTGTGCGCAATTGGCTGCCGTGTTTCGGTCTCAAAAACACACAGTTAATCCACTTTTCAGTATATACTGTGAAGGGCTTTGAGACGTCTCAATGACGTGATGCGGTGCAATATCAAATGCAAATATTATTATTATTATTATTATTAGGTAATGGAAATGAACATCAGATGTGAAGGAAAGTGTAAGGCCTACAGCACAAATATAGAGGCTTAACACCGAGTCAGCAATAAAGGGCATTGATGTGAAATGTACAACTAGAACCTCATTCTAATCTAAATAGGTGTCAAACCTTTGTGCGAAGCGGTTCATACACAAGATGCAGTGAGGCAGATAATAAAGCACTTACCTCTCGGTATCCTCGTCTGAAAGCTTTTTCACAGTGGGCGTTCATTAAAAATAAGTGAAGCACAAAAAAAAACCCACACTTTTGAAAGCTGGGTTATTTGATTTAAAAGCTAAATATTTCTGGTCTGGAATTCAACAACAGTGTTTGCCTTCCAGAGCGTTACCGTAAATTGGACGTAACATTGTTCTGCATTATTAAAAAGTAACTTTTATTTAAGAAAAAAAGACTGCTTTTTTTTTAAAAAAAAAGAATTTTACATTTTTTTTTATTAGGGGAATATTTCACCCGTTCCAGCCAGGTGTTCTTTTATGTTCATTATTAATGATGTGAGGTGAAAGCCAAATACCCTTTGTGTAGGACATGATTAGCCCTGAGAGCCTCGTGGGTTCTGGCGTCGTGTGATTGTTCTGGGACCGTACTACGCTCTATAGATTGGATCCGTTGTGATACGCCCACACCAACCGCGGTCAAACACTCATTCACTATCGCACAGAAAACTCCTGATAACTCGACCCTGCCTGAACTTGTCAATGCCACTGAAGTCATCTTGTTGTCAATACCCAGACACATTCATTTACGTATTTATGTGCCCGCCTAACTCCTGGTAACTCGTCACTGTGCCCTTTTCCCTTGAGTTGATGAGTTACTGTAGCTCATGAATGAAGAATAAGATTACACAGTCAATTCGTTTCACAGTAAATTCTATGAAGCGCATTGAGACGTCTCGACGTGATAAGGTGCTATATCAAATGCAAGGATTATTATTATTATAAGAATGACCGCTTGGTTGAGATACAGAACCGTCTGTTACGGGATTAATGTTAACGTGCGCGACTGTATCTGTCAATTTGCGTGTCTGTATCTTTGTGTTTACATTCATTCTCTGACGTGATATGAATATGATAGTTTCAGTGAGAAAACATGAAACCGGACATCAAACTCATAACGAGAATAAGAATAATCCTTGCATTTGATATAGCTACTTATTCACGTCATCGAAACGTCTCAAAGCGCTTCACAGGCTATGCTGTAGAGTGGATTTTGTGGGCAAAACGTATCGTTGCTATTTAAAAAGCCAAACACTTATCTTAATTAGTTGCTTCTTAATCCTGACGTGACAAATCAAAACAAGCAGATTATGACAAGCGCTGAGCAATTTATAAATCGCTCTTTTCTGATAAAGAGCTAAGCAATTCTGTCCGAAAATAATGGGAAAAGGACGGTGTAAAATAAATCAAGCGCCTCGAGGCCTTGATTCCAAGCCGCGGTGACACTGTTTCCTTCTCTGCTCTGGCCTCTTAAACCTTTCCAAAGTCTCAAAATAACTTTCCGGCAAGAACTTCCAGTATAAAACGCTGCAAATCCGAGGTAAATGAGTCAGCGCCTGAGAGAGCCACAGAGAGAAAACAGCACTTTGGGCCTTTCAGACACTGACGCATTTCCAACATTCTCATTTTCTTTTCTTTTTAACAGCACCACCTAGAATGATTAGGCAGTATAACAAGCTGTCGCCTCGACATTCCCATTACGACCCTCCCCCCCCCCCACAAAAAAAACATTATAATAATAATAATTTGGTCACCCAATCCACGGCTGTTTTGTGGGGCACTGCTTTGCGCAATTGGCTGCTGCGTCTCATCCGCAAAATACGCAGTGCTCGTCCCCTGAGTTGGACCAATATTTACCAGAGGAAAAAACATTCCAAATATCCAATGTAAATATTTCCGAAATATAGTTTGCATGCGACTCGGAGAGAGGAGTTTGACGCTCCCCGTTAATAATAAGGACACCCCAGGCGGGAGAGAACTCACCTTTGCAGTTTGCAATCAACCCCACAAGTAGAGGGTTAAATGCATCTGGATTCTGCTTCAACTTTACATTATTGTCTCATTTAGTGACAGCCTTTTACACTCTCAATCGTGTTTTCAGTGAGTTCAGAGTTGACGGCGACCTTGCCTCTTGATACTGTCATTCCGATTGTCTGCACATCAAGTCTTTCCATTCACAGCTCAAACCTCTGCTATTAATATCAGAGAAGAGTGGGGAGGGAGCAAAAGCGAGACTTCCACATTGGGGGAAAGACACATTATTTGGGTCTCTTGCCCAGTAGCATAGTCTGACGTTACAAGAAGCTTCAACCTGTGAGTTCACCATTTACCAAACACAGCAAATCTTTAACTCAAATTTTACTGTAAAATTAACGGTAAAATAAAAATTACTCTCTCAACGTTGGGTTCCGTTTCCCATTAATATTCACCCAACATTAAAAAAAAAGGATTTCATGATAATTTGAAAATAGCAGGGTAACTATGGTCACATAATTAATCCCACAGTGTGGAATATTAAACCAAATCATAACTTTGGTTGAAACAGTAGTTGAATGTGGTGAAAGGGCACTATACAAATACAAAAGTATTGTTATAATAATAATAATAATAATCCTTGCATTTAATATATCTTTGAGACGTCTCAAAGCGCTTCACGGAATATATTCTATTGAAGTACTTAAAGTCTGTGCATTTTGCGCGAAAATGCTGCTGTTGTTGTCAGGCGACAAAATCAAATCCAAAATGGACTTTAATCTTCCCAGAAGCTGCTTAGAAACAGGTGCCTCTTAAGAACGCTGGAGCCGGGCCGCGGGATCCCAACAGCAGACCATTCGCTTGATGAAATTGGGTGCAAAGCAGCTTCGCCTTATTCCCCGGCACTGACGCCACTGACAAGCTGAACATTAACCCAGTTTCCATCGCCATTAATTCATTTCCATTCCCATTCGCGCCCCTAACAACAGCGAGTTACCCTGTTGTGTTTCTAATCAGTCTCAGTCCGGCTAACGTTCAAAGTACGAACAGTGGGTTGTCGCTCAGGCCCAGGAATGGGAGGGAGAGAGAGAAAGCGAGAGACAGAGAGAGAGAGAGAGAGAGATATGGAGAGTGAGATGGAGAGAGGGGACAGGTTGATGAATTTAAAAATTGATGGAGAAAATGGAGGGAAATGCAAAGCTTGTAAACAGGAATATTTTAATGTACATATACATATATCACGCTGCAAAAATGGCAACCATATTAGCCCCGTCGCAGTCTCAGACCTTCATCTTGAATCTGGTTTATATATTTTTTTGCAGAGTCGCACGTTTATCAAAATAAATAAATAAAATATGGTTCAAATATACATATAATATATAATTTCGATCCTTTGCAAAGTCACACATTCATTCAAATGTATAAAAAGAGGCGAAGTGACGTATATTTTAAAATGTAGAAAACAGCATTTACATTTTTGCAAAGTCACACATTTATCCAAATATATAAAGTATGTTTTGCATGCTTTGCCAAGTGACATATTTATTTATCAATATATACACATATACATATATATATACCAATAAGGTTTAGATGTCTTGCAAAGTCGCATATTTATTCAAATATTCCTGTTTGCCAGGGCCAGATTTCCCCTCATGCATATGTAAGACAAAAAAAACCTGGCACTTGGGAAAGTGATGTTCTTTTAAGAACTAATTGATTCTAGAAATTAATTTGTTGTTGGTTTTTTTTTTTACCTGCCTGATCGGATGGAAATCCAGTCTCGGTGGCGCAAGGATTAGCATTCTCCTCTCTCTTAACATCTTCCCTAATTATCTAATAGCATGGCTGCCAGAATCCTGCCTCTATTGAGCCACTTTGCACATTAATAACATGATTGGAACTGTGATGGCAACTCGATTTCAACAAATTAGGCCCGGGCAAGGAGGAGAGCTGCAGAGGAGCGTCTTGTCATTTCCCGAGTTTAATGTCAATAATTACGGCAATTTGATGGAAAATGAGCTGAAATTATCTTCCGCCGCAGTTTCTGCTGCGTTTCCGAATAAACAGGAGAGGGTGGGGGGGGGGGAGAGTGGGGCGTGGGAGGATGGGTGGGGGGGGGTAAGAAAAAGATTCAGGTGAGATGAAACAAGCTGGGTTAATGGCTGAATTTTGCTAAGAGTAATCCCTGCATCCGATGCAGCGTCTTATCGCGTCTCCGAGACGTCTCAAAGCGCTTAAAGCACAAAATACACCGTAAAATGGAGTGACTGTCCATTTTGTGGGTGAAACTCAGCAGCCAATCAATGGCACACAGCGGTGTCCCACCCACGGTCGTGGATTCAGCGACCAAATTATTATTAATAGTCATTTTTTTTAAGGTGCAATCATATTTTCTTCGCTGGCGGAAGAGCATGTAACTGTAGACATTTAGGACAAGAGTTTAAAGTCCGCACGATTTTGTGCAGGAAAGCAAACGGACAGAAATCTGCCACATTAACAGGACATTTGGGAAGGATATGCACAGAAAGACACACAGGTGAGTGGCGGTCTGTCACTCTAACCAAGGAAACAAACAAAAATAACAATAATAATAATAATAATAATGTTTATCTCAAATAAGTCGTGGCAGTTGGGATCCTAACCTTTAATATGACTCATGCAAAGATTGAATTGGGCCAAACTTGAACACAAGTGGTATCATATGTAACTTGTGTGAAGCTGTGTATTGTACGAGGAGTTGTTGCTTCCAAGGGTTGGATATTATTTTTTTGACCCTCCACACTGTCCTGCGAATTAAATGATGACATTTCCATCTTGTGGAGTGTCCTTATTTTTCTTTCAGCAACTTTCCCTTTGATATTTCCGAAGGGTTAAACTGGTCAATTTCTTAACTTCGTTTCTATATATGTGTATATATATATATATAATATTTATATATATATACAGTATATTGGAGAAAAGACTGGGTGAGTTCTGAGAAGATTGAACAAATTATCATTGAATTATAAACCCAAACATCAGTAGGGATCGAATCACAAACTACTTGTAACTTTGATCACACCTGTTGAGGAGGAGGTATCTCCTGAATTTGGGCCATTGGGGGCAGATGATCTGGATGTGCATATGGTGTTGATTGTAAATCAGTGAGAGCAGCAATCAATGGGCTCGAATTCATTGAGGAAAACCACTGCACAAAGTGTGGGTGTAGAGACCAGAGTATGGGGGGAAAAAAGTTGGTTCAACTCCTTGTGATATGCTTTCAGCACCAGGACAGCTCCACTCACCTCCTCCCAAACAGCTGATCCCTCTCCTAATTAATCCCTCTTCTTCTCTCCCTCCCTCCTTCCCTCTCTCCCTCCCTCCCTCCTTCCCCAATGCCTCTCATTGGCTGATCATTGGCCTATTTCATCCTGAGCTGCAGTTCTTCAGTTCACTGAATTGACGTGTTGAGATCCCTTTCCAAATCTGTGACACCCCCTAATAAAGCCATTGGCCACCAATTTCCCGACAATAAAGGAAGGAACAAAAACATACACACACAGAGAGAGAGAGAGACACACACACACACACACACATACATACATACATACATACAGAGAGAGGGGGCTTGACTGTCACTTATCTTGAGACCTTCAGCACAGTGCACAAGAGTCAACGACACCCCTCACCCCAACCTCTGGATCCAACATCTGTTCCAGTGAAAGTCTAAGATGAACCTGAATTTCACCTCCCAGGTGCACCAGGTGTCTGCCCAACACCGACCCACCTCCTTCTTCATCGAAGATATTCTGCTGCACAAGCCCAAGCCTCTGAGAGACCTGCCTCCAGTCTCCTTTGCCAGTTCCTTGGCTTCTCGAGTCCCTTTGCTGGAGTATGGGTACCCTCTGATGCCAACACCCACCATCCTGGCCCCTCACCCCCACCACCCTCTACACAAGCCTGAGCACCATCACCCTTACTTCCTCACCTCCCCAGGTAAGCCTACCCACACTCTGGAAAGGGTGGTGGGGTGGGGGGACACCCACTCTACATGGATGCTAAGGAACTAAAGAGGTCATCTGTATTGGTTCCCTGCTGGAGTGGGGGTGTGTGTGGGTGTGGGGGTGTGTGTGTGTGGGTGTGTGAGTGTGTGGGTGTGTGAGTGTGTGGGTGTGTGAGTGTGTGGGTGTGTGTGTGTCTGTTGGTGTCTGTGTGTATGTGTGTCTATGTGTGTCTGTGTGAGTGTGTGTATGTATGTGTGTGTGTGTATGGGTGTGTGTGTGTCTGTGTGGGTGTGGGTGTGGGGGTGGGGGTTGTGTGTGTATGTGTGTCTGTGTGAGTGTGTGGGTGTGTGTGGGTGTGTATCTGTCTGTGTGTGAGTGTGTGTGGGTGTGTGTGTGTCTGTTGGTGTCTGTGTGTATGTGTGTCTGTGTGAGTGTGTGGTGTGTGTGGGTGTGTATCTGTCTGTGTGTGAGTGTGTGTGGGTGTGTGTGTATGTGTTTCTCTCCCCTCTCTCTGTGCAGAAGGCACTGGTTTTTCAGGTCGCAATTAACCTGTAGAAACAGCCACAGAAAGTGGAGTTTGATATATTGCTTTCAATGCATATTTTTTAAAGATATATATCTATATATAATATTATACGTTACGCCAAAGGAATATATTATTATTTTTAGTATTATAGCTTTCGATCGCGTTAAAGCAATTTTAAATAGTTTGATGTTAAATTTAAGGGATTTTTAAATAGTTTGGTTATGTATAATAAGATATAATATGTGTAATATCTATCTGTTCTACAACACTTTTCCGTTGTGCAGTGAAACGACCTTTCGGGGCCGTTATTCTTTATTGTGCAGATGTTTATCAGTTGTGTTTCACTCAATCTGTTGTGGTTATTATTTTATTTCCCCAATATTTGTCGTATATTATTTTATTTCTCCAATATTTGGTTCTGAGCCGCACTGAGAGGGAATAGAGTAAAACAAAACAAAACCAAACAAAACGAAATAAAACAAAATGAAATGAAATTAAATGGAATAAAATAATAATCTTTTGCGAAGGCGACGTTTGGGAATTACGACGCAAAAGAAAATAGTATCTGTGAATGAAATCCGATCGGAAGGGAAAGTGCTTCTGTGTAAAACTTTTATTTCACGTAAATCTTCTATTTTTTTTCTCCCCTTTCGCATCGATGCAAAACTTTCCCAATTCAAACGGTTTGTGTCTCACCATTTGCGGCTCTGATCGGTATTTCTACTTTATTGGAATAAATGTTTCGGGTCCTTTTCTTTTCTTCTTTTCTTTTAAATCGTTTTATTTCGAAGTTAAGTCACATCAGATCGTTTCTACACCGAACCTCAGCGAATTTAAAACGGTTGTACTCGAAATGTAAGTCACTTCGAACAGTTAGATTTCGGGTTTAAACCGTTTTAAACAGTCAAAGGCTTGAGTTACCTTTCGATCTGAGCTCTCAGCTCTGGTGACATGAATTATAAGCCGTTATTTGTATGAAATGTGTATATATATTATTATTATTTCACTCCGTAGCCACAACTTTGGGGCTATTTTGGCAGAAATGGGCTGTTTTTTGAGGGGATCTGAATTGAAACGCTCAGAGGTCTCACATTCAATCCGCTTTGCATCCCCAGTGTTTAAGGAATTGTTTGCACATATATATGTGTATAAATGTAAATATAAATATATGTGTATTGTGCAATATATAATTCGGTAATTAGAGAGCGATTTTCCGACAGTGCAAAGATTTCGAAATGATCGGATTTTTTTTAATGCAAATAACATTCTTCGGAAACGTTTTATTTCTGGAGCGTTATTTTTTTTTGTTGAAAAAAAACGAACAAACAACCAAACAAACAAACAAACAAACAAACAAACAAACAAACCCCCCAATTGTTTTATTAATGTTTTAACGTTAATATTCCGACTGAAATGTCTGAGCCGCCGAAGTCGGCTCTGAGCGGTGGGAGTTGTGTCTGAGCTCTGCAGCCGAGGAACCGTCTTGAGTTTGGGCTTTAAAGAAAGGGAGGAAAAAAAAAATATATATATATATCATTCCCACCACTATTTAACAATGCATTTCACATGTATTAAGCCCTTGTGATCCCATCGAAAAAGCCCACAACCATCACCACAGCACTTGCGTTTGACGAGGCGCCTTTTATCGAATGATGGAGGCGACTCAAAGCGACTCAGAGAAAATAATATCCCGTGAAGTGAACCGTCTGTGTACTCTGTGAGCCAAATTATATGGAGGTTTGGGAGGTCCTCTGGGGGTGTCTAAGCCCCTGCTGTTAAACGGCAGGATTTGCCACCTTGTTGGGTAGGTGTGTGTGTGTGTGTCAGAGAGTGAAAGCAACTGATGGAGGATTTTATTGGTGATTTAAGAAGGACAAAATACTTTCCCCTGGAAAAAAAAACACCCCCCCCCCCCTCCCTGCAAACTCCAAATGGAAGCCCACCCCAAGTCCCTGAGCCCAGAGATATCTCACTGATTATTACAACACACACACACAAAAAAAAAATGACAAGACCACCAGTCCATCCAGTTCAGCTTCCCCCACCCTGGACATGTCCTGTCCCAAACCACATCCCAGTCTCCCCAGATATTATTTCCAACAAGGAATCCGTCTGACTTGTTCTTGGAAGAAGCGACGCCGTCTGCTTCCGCCGTCTCCCGAGGAAACCTGGTCCGTCTATTTACTACCAGATAGTTTCCACACATTTGTTCCGAGTTTCCCACCTGAAATTACCCCCTTTTTTATTACCCCCCCCCCACCCCCACCCCACCCCCTTTCAACTGTAGAACCAGAGGACTCTTGTCTATATTGGGTTGTGTGGTCCCACTGTTCAGTACAAAATAAAACAGTTTATCCTGGTCTACAGGTTATCCAGTCCCTTTAGAATAATAATAATAATAATAATAATCCTTGCATTTGATATAGCGCTTTACAGGTCTTCTCGACACCCCAAAGCGCTTCACAGAATAATAATAATAATAATCCTTGCATTTGATATAGCGCTTTTCACGTCAGGAGGACGTCCCAAAGCGCTTCACAGAATAGACTCTAAAGTGAACTGACTGTATGTTTGTGGGCGAACGCGGCAGCCAATTGGGCACAGCAATGTCCCACAAACAGTCGTAGATTGAAAATGACCAATTTATTATTGTTTTTTTGCTTTTAATCTTAAAGACCTCGAACATATTGCCCCTTAAGGGTAATAACTGAAGGCTAAACGCTGTGTTTTGTCTTTTACTGATCTTTATTCGTTGCCACGTTAGCTGTGGGCAGAGACACCCTAACGTGGCAACGAATAAAGATCAGTAAAAGAATCGTGAAGAGTGCGATAAATATTGACAGCAAAACCTGTTCACACAGGGTTTAAATCTGTTAAATATTCGCACGTTGGCAGGTGGATGTGAACGTTTGTTGTGCAAGGGAATTAATGCCATAAATATACGTCGCCAATTTTAGGTCAATGAACTGGATTTGTTCTGAGAGCAGACAGGCAATTCTGGACATTTTAACAATTGTAACACAACAATAATTACAGTATTATTATTATTTAGAGATATAAGGACAATTACGGGGCAGATACCACGAGGTACTATATTACACAGCAAATAATTAATAGCTGGAATTGTTTGCTAGGAAGGACTGAGGTGAAAGCGCGGATAAGAGATTTATTATTATTATTAATACGCAGTCAATTCACTTTGCAGTATATTCTGTGAAGCGCCTCGAAGACGTGACAAGGCGCTGTATCAAATGCCGGGATTTTTATTATTAAGTATTATTATTAATTAATGTTCTTATTACAACAGAAAAGGGACAGATAATGAAGTTGGATCAGTGAGTGTGATCCAGTTATTGTTGTGCAGGTTGAGTGTGAGCTTCCATGCGCAGGTTTAGGGTGTAATTGGATTACGATTGGAAGTTCTTCTTTTAGGACATTCTGTTGTGTTCTCTCTCTCTCTCTCAGTAGGAATGCACGTCCCGGCCCTGTTCCCACACCCCCCCGAGCTGCCGGGTAAACACTGCCGGAGGCGTAAAGCCAGGACTGTCTTCTCCGATTCCCAGCTCTCGGGCTTGGAGAAGCGCTTTGAGGTACAACGCTACCTGTCAACGCCCGAGAGAGTGGAGCTGGCAACAGTACTCAGCCTGTCCGAGACACAGGTAGGGCCTGGCGGTGTGGGCTGGTGGGTGAGGGGGAGGTGGGGGTGGGGGGAAAGCCACACAGGGAAGCTTTGCCACTCAACACCCCATCACCCACTCAACCCCCCCATCGCCAGTCAACGATGGGTCGAATCTCACACCCAAACTTGATTCAAAAGTTGTTGAGTGAAGGAAGCGTAGACCGGAGGTCATTGTTAGAGACAGGAACCAGTTGCCCACTCTGGGCTGCCCTCTCTGCCAGGCATCCATCCTCAACCCCCTCCCCCCCACCCCCCCCATTAAACATATAACATCACAGCCAGTCAGGTTGAAGTGAAGATTCTCATTGTCTACTGATTTTATGGGTCACAGGGTACGTGTGTGTTTCTCTCTCTTGCACCAGCAGCACTGTAGTCCAGACTGACCAAAAGGAAATCTAAACTCTCTTTGAATCAAACTTAATTGTGTTGCAAACGAGCAAAAGAGATTGAGAACTCTATATATATTTGGTCGAATCTGACACCCAAAAAACTGGCCTCACAATTTAGTGAGCGAACAGAGCAAAGAACTGGGAGTCAATGTTGGTTGAATTATTGCAGGGGAGGATGGTTTTGGAAGAGAGTTTAGATGCTGTGTTGATCAGCTTCACATTTCCACCATCACATCTCATGTGCTCCCTTTCAAATACTATATCAAATGTATGGATTTTTATACTTATTAATCTTATTATACTTTATTATGCTTATTATTTCGTTTGCCCTCGCCAACTGCTTGGGAAATTTAATTTCAAATCCCTTTTTTTTTGTTGCCATTTTGGTTTTTAACCCGGGTTAAAAAAAAATCTTACCACATAATGTCGATGTAATATACATTTGAAAAAAATGTCAAATTCGATCATTATCCGGGAAGTGATTTTTTTTTTTTCTTTTTACCGTTTCTTTAACGAGAAAAAAAACGGTTCCAAATCGAGACCGAACGTGAAAGAAAAATCCACTTTTCAAAGAAAATTAAGGCTGGCGGTGGGGGGGGGAAATTTTCGGCGTTAAAGCAGCTTTCACTGTCAGCATTGCCCACTATTTTCAGTCCTTCGATGGGCATTCGTTTATTGCTAATAAATCCTTCCATTATTAATACATTGACTGGGTTCGGATGCAGTATTTTCAACAGAAATAGTCACTTTCAAACGCGCTGCAAATGGGTCTGTTTCTGTTTCTGTCCTCAGTGGTGAAAGGTTAAAAAAAAAACGTTAAATTCTGGTGAATTGAATTAACTTGAAACGCTCCGCCACAGATTTGAATTGGCATTTTCTTTTGGAGCAAAGTATTTCTCGTTGGGGTTGTCATTTCTGCAAAGAACATCACCCAGGCTGATGCTTTTGCGTTGAGGTCTTAATGAATACACTGGATTTTCATTGAAAAAAGACAATTGTGTTGAGTTCTAATTGAATATTTTGTTCATACAACTTTGTGCTGAATCTAAACGAATACATTTTCATGACATTTGTGTTGAGTGTAAATTAATAAGTATGTATTAAATACTTTAATATTAATTGGGTTTATAATACTCACTTATATGAGTGTTAAATAATAATAATAATAATCTTTGCATTTGATATAGCCCCTTATCACGTCGGTGAGACGTCTCAAAGCGCTTCACAGAATACATCAACGTGTGTTGAGTTTAAACGATTAAGTTTTCAACAGAATGGTGTGGAGTCTGAATGAATAAGTTGGTCTGTCACACTGTGTGTGTGTGTGTGTGTGCGTCCTTTTTTTTTTACAGGTTAAAACGTGGTTTCAGAACCGAAGAATGAAACACAAAAAGCAGTTAAGGAAAAGTCAGGAAGATTTGGGACAGAAACACTCTCCCAGCGACAAGCACTGTGTGGAGACGAGTCCCGGTGAAGCAGAATTCAGTCAGAAAAGCACTCCAGAGGCTAAACCCATCACCCCCCAGAACACATTCATTCTGGACAACGAGGATGATGTGGATATCATCGAAGACGACGACATTTGTTCTGCTGAAAACGAACCGCTCACGTCTGGTTATTAAAGCCATTAACAGATGATGTTTTAAAAGAAAAGGCAAAATTTATCAAAGATTTTCTTTCTCTGGCTGTGGTGTGTGGGCCAGAGAGTTTATCCTGTTTAACAACTGATCATCCTGAGATGATAATAATAATAATAATAATAATAATTCTAATAGTAATAATGATCCTTGCATTTGATATAGCGCCTTACTTATCACTTCGTTGAGACGTCTCAAAGGGCTTCGCAGAATATATTGTAAAGTGAATTGACTGTGTATTTTGTGGGGGACACAAGGCAGACAATTATCACTATCCTTCCCCCCCCCCCCCACTCCCACCCCAGAAATATTTAATTCTGAATTCTGAAAGTCTTTAAATCTGATTTTCTCTCATGTATATTTGTCGATTGATGCAAATTTAATGTTTATATCTGTCAGGTAATTTCTGCAGGAAAAAATATGTATTATTTGGTACGGATTTCTGTCCATCTGTAGCACTTGTTGGGTCTCGCAAACAATCTCAAATGTTATTCCTGTGAATAAAATATGAATTCCTTTAAAAGTGTAAAACGTAAGCATTAATTTCCACGTTAGATTTCTCTCCAAAACTACTTGGTTTTTTTTTAAAGGCGTGGTTTTTTTTCGTTTAAAACTGCCCGTGTCAATGTTCAAATTGCTTATTACTTCTGAACTCACTTACGTTAGTATACGCAGTCTATCAAGTTGTGTTGAATTTTTCAACCGTCGCTTACGATTGCTGAACTTGTTTCTGTACCATTTCGGATCAAATAAATATGTAGACAAAATGAAAACGCAACGTGCCGGAGAACGGATGGAAACCCATTCGCAGGAAAGTGTTGTCTAGTCTGTATATTTAGCATCTCACTAAAATAACCCTCGTTTTCCTCAAACGCCACACCACCCTCCCGACAAGCTTTCCCTTCTCTCTGCGCTCTCTGTGTCAAACGTCAAACCGAAACTGATTGCACTCTCTCGGGTTGTCTCGAGGCTTTTTTGCTGCTGCTCCATTGGGTTCTGGAATCCCTAGCGTTTCTTATTCGAGGTGTTTTTCACGTCGAATCTCCGCCATTTGCATCCCTTTTCTCCAAGCTCACCGGCAGGAAATGGTCGTGGAATGGGACATTTCAGTGTTGGCAACGGTATCAATCTCTGCCACACTGCAGTCAAGTTGAGGCGTGACTGTAAAATGTATCGACAGTCCAAAAATCTTTAATTATTAGCTTGTTAAATATTATCAAAGAGCCACGTATTCTTGTTTGTGGGTCATTGCTGTCTCTTGGCTGGACAGTTTTGCCTATATAACATCCACTTATATTTTTATACACACACATATATATAATTTATCTCCAGATCAACATGCTTTTTTCAGTCGAGTCATGAATTTGATTGATTGATTGATTGATTGATTGATTGATTGATTGATTGATTAATCATCAAGTCCCTCTGATCCAAAGAGGAGTTGTCCTCCCGATTTATTTTGATTCTATATTTAGTTCTAACCTAAAAATTCGCCTTTTTTAAAAAAAAAATGTAATGAAGTGGCGATTCATCTGATTTTCGCTTATGGGCCATCCGTTGCATTCACTTAAATTCCAGTGAATCTCGTGCTGTAGAGCTCTCCAAGATGTGCCTTTCAGTGAACGGTGCTAAATTATTGTTTACCAGTTGCTCTGATGAGCCAATGATGACTGGATGATGACTAGACCATACACACACTCTTTTCTCCTATGGTCTCCCAGGTTGACTGATGACAGCAATTGGGGTTACACATGTTCTCAGTCCTGGTTTGAGGCAGACAAAGAGTCCCTCCACACACACACACACACTCCCACCCCAGATGGCTATTCACAAAGACTATTTGCTGGAGAATGTGAATGACTGGACGCTGGTGGAGACCAGATTCGGTTGGCTGTATTCAGATACCCTGCCGACACTCGCTCCCTCTCCATCTCCCACACGAATGGCCTCCTGGAATGAGGTCCCAGATGGCGCAACTTTACTCCCAGGTAAGAGTCTCTCCCTTTTCAGAGAGAAGGTGGCTAGGAAATTAGTTACAGAGCCCATTGCCACTTACTCACAATGTTTAATAACACTGGATCGGTAACCAGGTCTTGGTCACAGTTGGTCAGAGAGGCTGTGTTGGACACATGATGTCACACTACAATTATAACAACAATATTATAGTATAACTGATGCATGAGGTTACACACACACACTGCACCAGGTAACTGTTTCTCACTGCACTGATAAGCCATTAGCAAGTTGCTCTAAGTTTTCCTCTTGCTTCTCTTCCACAGACAAGCCTGCAATTGCCCAACCCTAGACCCGCCTGAACATCAGTTCTAGGCTTATATCTCCTCCTGTTTCATCTTTGCTCCTTTCTGCTCAATGTTTCGCTTGGTTTCCCAAGCTGATTCTTTCGATGAATCCTGAATTGGCTGAATTAGCTTGACGTTGATGTGTGGGCACTATGACACACGCATTTACCGGTCAGGAGCTTGGGGAGCCCAGAGTTTGCTTTGGGGGGGGTAACTGCTGGCGTCTAACCAGCTGAATAATCGCAGTGGAGTTCCTGCCATTACTTTCTGCTCCACATTAACACTCGCAACCCACATTCAATCCCAAAAGATGAGGAAAACCTGAGATGTCCCTCTGGTGTTTTTCCTAAAGCTTGCTGTGCAACGGGAGGCTAGAGGGTGAGTGAGTGAGTGAATGAACGGAGAGACAGGTCAATAATCCTAGCGCTTGATATGGCGCCTTATCACCTCTTCGAGACGTCTCAAAGCGCTTCGCAGGATACTGTAAAGTGAATTGATTGTGCATTCACTTTAGGGGTTGACATTTAGATTTTCTGCCAAGTCTCCCTACGTAAATTGCCTGGTCTGTTCCAGTCTGTTGAAATGGTCATTCACCTCAAAAACCAGCCCCACCATCGGCTTCCCCTTGTTTTCTGTACAGTATAAACACATCTTTCTTTGTGTCAGTCTGTGGTTGCAGAACCATTGACCTGCAGATTAATCCCCTGCTGTTTCTGCACCATGGTTGGTTACATCTTCTGATGCATCAGACAGTAGTCAGACTCTTGAGTAGTGTAAGCGTCAGGACAGCAGGAGCTTGCTCCGTGACATGCCGCTGTGATAATGAAACCAATTCACAGCTAAAGTGGCTTCCTTTCCTTTTCTGTCCTAGCCGTTGCTTCCCTGACAATTTAAAAAAATAGCCCAGATACAGAAATATATTAATAATAATAATCCTTGCGTTTGATACAGCACCTGGTCAAGTCGTTGAGACCTCTCAAAGCGCTTCGCAGGATATAGGGTAAAGTGACTGTATTTTGTTGGGCGATTGCAGTGTCCCACAAACAGTGTCCCACAAACAGTCGTGGATTAAGTGCCAATGTTTTTTTTTACTATGTTTCACAGAAAAAATGTGAAATGGTTTGCACGATAAGGCACTAAATCACGTAGGAGGCAATGACTGTTATATATTCAACAGTACATTTTGAATATTTCCCTTCTAGTATTTTATTCTCGATTAAGTGTTGCTCATGTCAACCCTGTCAGTCTATTGCTGCTGTTCATTGTGTGCTGAACTATGGGCTGTGTGTGTTGTTCAAGCAGAATTTGGCACAACATTGTGATTTAATATCAGAAAACATTGCAATTTTGTGGGACTGATGATGAGTAATTCAGTGATCTTTGTGGTTTTAACCACTTACTCAGTAATCATAGCTAATGAGATTTCATTTCCTAATTATTACAGGCTAGTTACGATAGAGGAAACAAGTGGTTGATGCACCTGGCTGCGAAGTGAGTGCTAGGACACGACACGGTACACATGTCGGTGTATAATATGTGCGTTATGGTGAGCTCCAAGAGAAAAAAGCTAAGATATACTTTACACCACACACCGATTGTTGGTTATTTAAATTAGCTGTGGGTGACTTTTCTGTTAATAATCATAAAACGTGTTTCAGGAATAAATTAGATAGATTGATTTGAACCTTATCAAACCCTTTTATAATTTTAAAACTTCTATGAGGTTCCCCGGCCCACCCACCCCCCTTTAAACGTCTCTTCTCTAACGAACAAAGGCCTAACCTATCCATTCTACCCTGATCGCAGCAACCTACCAGCTCTGGTATCATCCTGTGTGAACCTCACTGGACTCTTTCCATCGCTGCTACTGTATATCCTTCTTATCCTTCTTGAAGTGTGGAGACCAGAATTGGACATGCTATTCCAGTACACACGGTTTAACCAAAGTTTTGTTGAAATTTAACATAACCTCCTCATTTTTATATTCTATTCTACTGGATATAAAGCCCAAACCCCAATGTTTTTTTTTATATAGCCTTACCTACCTGTGTAGTTACTTTCAGATTTACGTTTACTTTGAATTTGTGCCCTCTCATTAACAACTCTATTTCTAACTCTATTATTAATTACCGTATAGTTTGCTCTCTACCAGAACTCACTCACCTTCACCCAACAGTTCTAATACAATGGCTTTCTTCGGCAGAACCGCCCGTGTTACGGATTACTATAAATACCAAATTATCACACTTGCTTTCCTTGAAATCGACTCACATTTACTCCAAAGTCACCAGTCACCAGATGAACAACTGTGCAATCTGCAGATTTTGCCCTTACTCAATACAGTACCCAATCAACCAGAAAAGCATTTGCATTCTCATTTATTAGCAAAGAAGATTAAAACAATTCCTTTTAGTACGAGGTACAGTCATAGCAAAAATGGTCGGTACCTTTGAAATGTCACCCATCGAGAAAAGGCACGAATGGTCTTGTTCTGAGTGGTGCCGTCTTTACATTCATATCACAAAGAAACTGCATATTAAAATGAAATCTCACAACCCTACAAATTAGCCTTGCAGTCTCAAGCGAAGGAGATAAAAATCAAGCCCGGTTGCATTCTTGATCACTATTCAGTCATCGCTTGCTGTATAGTGCACTCATGTGTATGGTAGGTAAGGAAGAGGCTCTTCCGTGATAGCCTTCAATGTTGACTCTCACTGTCTAGGGGCTACACATGAATAGTCTACTTGGGTGAGATATTGGAGGGTGACTGGCATCCATGGAACAGAACTCTGGTGCAAGTTCTAGAGAAAGGAGAAGAGCAAGGGGCAGTAAACTGGCCGAACAAATAATAAAGCTGGAAAGAAAGGGAATTGGTTTGTGTCGCAAGTGACTACTATTTTTCTCAAATGCGATTCTGATATACAGTATTAAGCAAACATCCTTTAAAAGATGGTCGAGGGAACTAGGCAGTGTGGAAGGTGATCAATTAAGAGATTAAGCATTTTGCAACACATGGGCGCATCTGCATTTTATCCTCATAACAAGCCCATCAGCTCATTTTCAGAGGACTGCTGTCTGCTTCAGTCCAGGCTACACATCAAAGAGACAACCCTGTCTATGCTTTCTAATCAGAAAAGGGATGCTAATTCATCCTCCTTAATGTGTGGTGGTAAGAGACTCCTTCAATTAACTGAATTCTATAGTCGGGGAATAAAAGGATGCAAACAGAGTCGAACTGGAAAGGCAGATCTCTCATTAAATCAAAAGGTCCAGTATTCATTACCTCACGCATCTGAGGCTAAACACTAAACACACACAGAGCATCAAAGAGTCTGTGATGGGTTAAATGGGAATGCAATCTAATTAAAATATTACATACGAGTAAATAGCTCTTTGATATTCATCTAAAGGTTCCATTAAAGAAATAGGTGCTTCAAATTTGGATTACGGGGGGATTATCACTTTTAAGTACAGAGAACAAGTTTATGCCTAATGAGAATCACTTCAAAGTGTCATCATTTTATGACCCATTTGCAGAACCAGCCGTGAATGAGGATATATGCTGATATTCAGGGCTTGAAAGGCCATTTAATTCTGGCTGAATATAGCAGCAGGTGCACAAACTGCACGACGGAGTGAGAGGAGGAGGAGGAGAGGAGAGACGGAAAGAGAAAGGGACGAGCGATTCTGAAAGGGAAGAGGACACAGGGCATTCATTATCATTCTCTACAAACATTTGCAGCATTTTACAGAACTTGTGATTCCCACTACAGTGGTTGTTCAGCCTGGCTCAGCTGCTAGCACTCTCCCCTCTGGGTGAGAAGGTTATGGGTTGAAGACCTAAGTTGGGACTTTGAGCTCACTCCAGAGAAGTATGGGGGAGCACTGCACTGTTGGAGATGCTGTCGATCTGTTGGAGGTATTTCAAAGTTATAGGCATTGTATCAAATAATATCAGTAAAAATATACTGTCCGAACAGCTAGGGAACTGCATAACTCTGGGTTGTGATGGTATAAATGATGCACTCGCTTGATCAGCAATAACATTTTTTATAAATGGTTCATTTTACTTCAATGCGCACTTTACTAAGCTAATCAGAAAAAACACAAATGTTGTTAATGCTTCTAGAACTAACAAATGTCAACGTTTAATTTAAAACTCAAGGTAAAACAGCCAATAATTTATTAAAAGAAAATTTTTAACACCTCAAAGGCACCCTATTTCCAGTTTCGTTCGGCTGATTTTTGCCTGCTTCAGTTGCTTTTGTTGGAAGACAGTGGGCTTTCTTTGACCTTATGATAAATTGAGAATCATGTGTATTATTCACATCTATTTTACAGATAATTCACGACATTTCGTGACTAAATCACAATGCGTAGTGAATTATGGAGATTGGTCTGGTGAGTTCTTCTGCAGGGTCTTCAGTGAAAATTAGTTGAGGTTTTGGACAGCGTGTGTAACAAGATAAATTGCATGAGAGTATTTTTAACATTGCTCAGGAGCAGTTCCATTTGTCTCTGAAGGGAAAGTATGCTGCCATTTACCAGTAACGGAGCATGGGAAGTGCTGGACACAAAATGGACACACAAATATTAATACATGCGTATATTACAAATAATTGCAATTATTGGTGGACTTCTAATCTTCATTTAGAATTTCAGAGGGTGATCAAAAGCCTCAACATTCTGCACCTCCACAAACCTCCGGAGTGAATGCATTTGTGGCTTTTGCCGATTGTACAGCCATTGCAGCTACACACTGGAAAAAACAAAACAGCGAAAATACTAATTTTATAAATCTCTAACTCATTTTGTTAGATTCAAGGATTTCAGGTTCGTGCCCCCAGCACTAATAACGTAAGTCATCGACTTGTGATCTTCATAAAGCTTATAAGCCTGAAAGGGAAGACTGAAATGTTCAGAACAGACTTGCATGTTTTCATCGGCTGCTATTATGCATAATAATAATCCTTGCATTTGATATGGCGCCTTATCACGTCTTTGAGACTTCTTCAAGCGCTTCACAGAATACACTGTAAAGTAAACTGACTGTGTATTTTGTGGCCGAAACGCTCTTTATGTACCACTGTAAGACTGGCATTACTGCCCTACCCGGTGATTGTGAGTGCATAAAAGATAAAAGTAGCGTGTGATTCTCATTCGTTAGAAGTGCAGCTTCAGGACACCAGTTTAATTGTCAGAGTCTGACCTTTCTCTTGTGTTACACAAGCCACGTGCCTATCAGCTTACATGCATTGCTTTGAAAGCAGCCACCATTTGCTTCTCTGCTTCGTGCCTTTTCTGCAGCATGTCCAGCAGCACGCTGTGCGACGGGTCCAGTTCCACCTGCTTACCGAATACACCCCTTCCTGCCTTCTCGTTGCTGCTCTTTGCTTTTGCTGGCGCAGGTTTGGGTTTCGGAACCGTTTTAGCATATTCCATGGCCTTGGTAGTTTACAAAAGCAAAGGAAAGAGTGTAAGTTAATATACAGTGTCATTCAATGTATGTCAGTTGATTGTCGCAATTATGTAGGTGTACTAAATAAGCACAGGAAAACACTGCTGATTGATAGCAGGAAAGCCCTAAATTTTCTATTACAATGGTTAACACATCTATCTCTCAAAGTCCACAATCTAGTTGATTAATAATTACGCAAACTATTGCGGTAACTGCAGGCAGAGGAGGAGGAGGAACTATCTTGCTCCACGGAACCTTCCCTCTGTGGATGAAGGCAACACACAGACTGCACTGGGCATGAGTTCATTCTATAAGATCATGGCTGATCTGTACCTCAATTCCAAATGCCCGCCTTTGCCCCAAATCCCTTGACAAATCCACCTGTCCTACAGATGGAAAGAAAACTGTGACTGACGATGGATTTCGTATACAATTACATCGACCTCAATGAAGATCAACTCCCCCCCCAAAACAAACCAGCTGTGAGATTGACATACAGTACTTTTCTCCCATACACACCATTTTCCGCCGTAGGTTTGCCTCCTTGTTTTCAGCATCAGATACTGCTTTAAGTAGAGACCCTTGCTTAAATGTCACTTTCCAATTCTGTTCCTTAATCTGCTTTGCATATTCCTTCTGTCGTTTCATCTTCTCTGCCTTTGTACACAGAAAAATATTAGCATCAGGTACAGCATTGGATGTAGTAATAATAATAATCCTTGCATTTGATTTAGCGCCTAATCACGTCATTGAGAAGTCTCAAAGTGCTTCACAGAATATGTTGTAAAGTGAATTGACTGCAGTGGAGCTCTATCATAAGGCGGTCACTAAATGTGTATTTTGTGTATTTTGTAGGTGTACCCGGCAGCCAATTTGCACACAGCAGTGTCCCACAAACAGTGAGAAGTGGGAAATGGCTCAGGCAGGAACACTTGACATTTAGGACAAGTTCTCCCTGCTTGGGAGAGCGTCTTTACTTCAATCCCATTATTCTACAGCAAGAATACAAACCAACAAGGTGCGAAAGAAACATGAGAAGCGAGCAATTTGGTTTGAGGCTGCGGACAGCTCCGTGACCACTGCTCTGCGTTAGTGAAAGGTAGTAACGCTTGCCTTTTCCTGAGCAGCCTGATAGTCTGGTCCCAAGCCTCCGAGTTTGATATCCTGTTTTAGCTCCTTGTAACTCTTCAGTGAGTAAGGCTGCACAGAAAGCAAAATAAAAGTCAGTAACTGCTCGAGGGGTTACGGTTCCGTGAGCAATGATGGGTCTCTGATAGGCATGAAAGAAGACAATGAATGTCAGGAGGCTATTCTGCTGCGGGGGTGTTGAGCTGTGGGGGCGACACCAAGACGCATAAAAAATTTTGTCGGGCTGAAATGAAACTAGGCTGCACAGGGTGGTAAGTATCAGGAGCCCTTCACAGGAAATTTATAATAAACAATAATCTTTGTATTTCGTATAGCGCCTTATCACATCTTTGAGATAATAAGTTTCCCAATTTCCAATATACTCAGCTCGCTCATGGCCATCAGAGCTGAACCCAGTATTTCACACATGCTCATCTTCCAGCAGGGGGTCTTTCAATAACATTTAGACATCTGAAATTCCACCTAGTCTTACCCTAATCTGTTTTACAATTTAAGATCATCTAGTATTGTGAACAAAATGAACTTGCAGGTTACGACCAGCTGAAGGTTTGGTCGACAGGACCGAAAACACTGACAAATATTCCCTGCCATAACCTGGGGAACAAGAACATTTATTACCTACCCCCAACAACTCACTCAGCTGAGATCAACTACCTTAGCGCTGAAGGGGATCTAATGTGGGAACTTCCTGGTTTGTACAGCTCAACTCATCAGGCAGCGCTATGAAACCCATACCCGTACGTGAACCATTTAACACGATTGTCACATTTTCCTTAGAAAAGGAATACCTCAGAGGCACAGGACTGACAAATTTAAGTAAATACAAAAGAAAACAATTCTTACAGCGCCAGGGGATGGGAGAATCAGACAGATTTGCCCCGCAGTCGGTGGGGCTAATCCCCAAATCCAGTCAAGTGACAATACACAAAATGCCTCGTTCAGAACCACAAAGACAATTACTTCAGTTTACCATGTCTGATTTGGAGCTTGAAGTTAACTTTTTAGGGATGCATTTGCCTGTGGTTCTATTTAACTCTTTTATAACCTGCTCCCTGGATGGTAATTTCGGCATGTCACATCAATGTGCTCCAGGAGTATGAGAAGTCGTGCTGGATAATCTAATTGGCCTTCAGCATGATCCGCACAACCCTCAGCTGTACAAAGCTTGTTCCCCGTAACCCCTAAATAATGTTTAATGTTTATAAATATTTTGAATCAACTAGCACATAAACACCATCTAGTGGCTATTTTGTGCATAGTAGTTTCCAGTTTCCCTGTTCCAAATTGACATATACATTTCATTGCATAATAAAGTTCAATGTAAGCTCACTGGGACACACTGCAGGTATGATACACACTCTACAAGCAGCTGAATATAAATCGCATCCTTGAGTCTGTAAAATGTTTGTGGTGTATGATATGGAAAATTATATACAACAATCTGATTTTAGGTGCGTTTATCCTGTACTGTTATAGCATTATGGGCACAATTCAGAGATCATGGTTTAATGAAGACCATTGAAGAATGTACACTGTGAATATTCTTGTCTCAGAATATATTGTACAGATGAACTCACAGTGGAAGCAACTGCAGGAATAATATATCCTCACATGATATGGAGAATGCTTCACAGTCATGAGATAATAATATAATACTAATCCTTGCACTTGTTATAGCCCCTTATCACGTCTTCGATACCTCAGAGTGCTTCAGAGTAGATTGTAAAGTGAACTGACTGTATACCTTTGGGGGCAAAACGTTGAGATTGTTGACTGAAATCACCAGGTACATCAGCTATTTAGCTTGTGCTGCGTGTATTCACCTTGTACTTTGGTTTTTCCTTGAGGTTCTTGATTTTCTCCATCTGAGCAAGGTATCCCTCGGAGTTGCTGCGAGGTATTGTGGCTGCTTGCCTCCTGTTTGCTCTGGTGTCCAGTTCCGATTCGCTCCCCGCTACGCGACCAATAGATGGCAGCACGAGCTGGGAGCTGAGCTGCGTGCGTGCCAGCCTTGGTGTGTCTTCACAAATCTGCTCCATTTGCTGAATGAGTCGTGAGCTGGGAGACTGCACCAGTTGCTGCCGACACTGGGGCAGGAAGGGGAGAGACGTCATCCTAGAAACAATTCAAACCCATTCAATCCCATCGCAGCACTCCAAGATGCACGGAGGACGTTACATAATAATAATAATAATAATAATCCTTGAACTTGATATAAAGCGCCTTATCGAGTCTTCGAGACGTCTCAAAGCGCTTCAAAGAATATACTGTAAAGTGAATTAATTGTATATTTTGCGGGCAAAGTGCCCGCAAAAAGCAGGTTGTTGTTGTCATTGGGTTTGGATGGCTGAGAACAAGAAGTAAGAAAGAATACATGCATTAACATATATATTGTACATGCACATAGTCTGGTGCACACGCGCACACTCATACAAATAACACATACACAGACTATGCAAGACTATGGACAATGCGAGCATGGTGAACCCCAGATGGATTTACAAATTAAAATTTGCAAATCTATCCTCCCAATCGCGATAAACATCGCACTTAATCTCTTCACCCACAGTTCACCGAGATCTACCATGACACACACATTTGCAACTCACCCTGCACTCCACTGCTCCATCCCGAACTGGTCACGTGGCATCTTTGGTGATTTCTCCTGGTTCACGGAGCAAACCTTTGGCCCTGCAGCAGCAAGAGTGGCCCTTGGCTGGTAGGAGTGATTGTACGAGGCTGGTGCCAATGGGCCAGTGTGAGCAGCCTGGTGGAACTTCGGGTTGTGTTGGGTTTGGCCAGGGTGTTGGTAGGGAGGGAGGAACGTGTGCCATGGTGGCTGACCCTGGACACTTCCAGGTACATATAAAATTGGTGTAAACTGGACCGGGTGAGGATAGTGACGGGTCATCGGTTCGGTGGTTTTGTGTGGCAGGTTGTAGGGAGGTGGTGCCCCATAAACACCATGGTTTCGGTAAAGTGAAGCAGGCTGTCCCATTGGAGGGCAGGAAGGGACAAAGTCAATGGAAGTTTGTGTATAATCCTCGGATACGGTTGAGGTATAATCAGACAAGGTTGTGAGGTTAATGTTCAGGTGGACTGTTGGCTGGAAATTGTGCATTAAGCCTGAGTCGGTGTGACTAATTGGCGAGGAAACATTTGCCTGGCCAGCGCTTGGAATTCCTGCAGTATTGTCCTCACTTCTTTGAATGAGCACCTCAGACATCTCTTTCTTCAGGTCAACTGGGTTTGGATGATGGGATGGTTTCTCCAAATAAGGCAGAGCTTTCTGCACTAACCGCTCAGGGCAGGGCTTATCCAGAGGTCGAGGGGGGCGTCCTCTCACTCCATTTATCACTTGTTTTTTCGTTATATGTTCCTAGAAAAGACAGACAATGCAAAAATACTGGATTTTAACATACGCAAGTGGAATTAAATCAGATTGTATTCATGGGTGGAGAAACATATGTTACTTTAATCTGTATCTTGCAGAGTGGAAGACATTTTGTCAGCCTCCAGCCAGCAGATCTCAACATTCCCAATTATGGAGAATGACAGATTTCATCAACTAAAAAACGCTGGGTTGAGCAAATTGCAAATTTCGTCCATTCGCTCAAACCTAAGATTGTGCCCAAAATGTTTTTAAAAACTTCTACGGAGCAAACTATTGTTCCAAAGCTACAGGGTTATTTATCTCTCTTATGTCTCTTAACAGCAAAACCAGGGGCCATAAATATAAAATAGTCACCGGTAAACCAAATAATAATAATAATAATAATAAACCTAATAGAGAAGTCAGAAGAAACTTCTTTACCCAGAGAGTGGTAGGAATGTGGAACTTGCTACCACAAGTAGTTGCATGTAAGGGGAAGCTAGATACGTACATGAGGAAGAAAGGAATAGAAGGTTTTGGGAAGCTTGGTGTCTTGTTCAACCCTCGACTGTCTTTCAAACCTCACATCTGTGCCATGACCCGATCTGCCTTCTCCCACCTTCGCAACATTGCCCGTCTCCACCACTCTCTCCTCCCACAGACTACTGAAACCCTCATCCACTATTTCATTAGGTCCAAGGCTTGACTACCCTAACCCCCTGTTCCCAACACGTCCCTCTACAAACTGCAGATTCAGAACTCTGAAGGGTGAGGAAATTCACACGTCATGCTGTACTTGCCAAACAGTGCTTACATAAAATGATAGCCTGGGTTATTGATAGTCTCTATACAATAATTTACTGGGTGCAACATTTAAAGTGGTATAACCTGCAACCTCTGTGCTCTTAGCTTCCATTTCCTCTCTGGATCGCAGCTCTGATCATCCAACTCATTCTGGTTAGATTCTGCAGCAGCCTTTGCTGTCCTAGTGCTTTTAGGAGTAGAGTCCTGTGAAAGTGAGTAGCAGCCAGTTTCATTGACCAGATTTCACAGAAAAGTGTTCCTGTCACAGCCAGAACACCTACAAATACAGTCACTACTCCCCAGTAAATCATGCAAAGTACCTTGAAACATTTCAATGATGTGATAAGTCGCTAGATCGAATGCAAGTATTATTAATAATGCAAATAATAAATATAATTATAATCTTTTGCCTTCTCGGCACCTGCTCCATTGCTCCCCTTCCCTCCCCACCACTCCCAGTGACTTCATCTCTGACCGAGAACTTCCGCTCATCTTTCCCTTCCCCACTTTCAGGAGGACACCTTCCTCCAACACCACTCTCTTCCTTCAATCACTCGCACTTCCTCTTTTCCTTCCCCCATCTTTCAAATTCAAATTCCTCTCTCGCTTTGTTTGCTTACCAATACAGGCATCCAGTTCGGCTCCCACCATCCTGGCAGTTGGGTGCACATTTCATGTCCCAAACTATATATACTGTACCCAGAGATATTACTTCCTAACTGAAATCTATCTAATTTGTTAACCAAAGCCAATATTTTCTCCTCCCTAGCCCGGTTGAATTAGAAACCACTGCTGCTTGACCTGACATCAAGTGATTCATATAACAAATTTTAAATCATAAGGATCAGTCAGCAGAACACTTGAACTGTACATGTTACAGCTGAGTACTTATACGGCTTGACTGAAATAAATCATCTGGTCAAAGCAGATGTATTGCAGTTTGACTACAATATACCTCAAATGCAGATTGATATTTAAAATCAGAACTTTCCTGGATACCTTTATAATCAGCATTGTATTGAAATTTAATGGCAATTGAATATTTGAAGACAATTATTTTTGTGGGTAATTTAGATGACCCTATTGTGCAGATACTATATTATTCACAAGACATGTTTACTGGGTAATACAGGCAAGGGAAATTAATTGAGTTAGAGATCATGGGGAAATTCAATTTGATGGATCAAAAGGTCCTTCAAAAAGCACTTGAGGAATGAAGCAACAATAATGTACCTTTAGTTCACATTCAGTGACTCATGCTCGCAAAGATAAATGATGTATGTCGCACTGATGTCTAACTGAAGCAAATCATCGCTTTATTATGAAGATCCCACCACAAATCTCTTTTCAATACAAATACGAGTTGCACCTGTGATTCCCATTAGATTTATCAATTGGAGGATGTTTAAAATACAATTTACTAGAAATCAGCCGCCAAGCTTTGAATACTGTGTCCCCGCTCTCAGGAACTCTTCCCCAAATCACTCTGCCTCGCCCTCCTTTTTCAAAACCCTCTAAAAGAGGGAAGAGGGTTCAGACAAGGCTAGAAAGCACGGAAACAGGCTCGCCTGTCCAATTAGTCTGGTTTACAGCAAGCGAGAAACTGAAAGGCTCAATTATGGACAGAAACATAGAAATGGATGAACTAATGGTTCTGAAGCGAAAAAGAATCTCCAATCCCAGATGATTTCCACTCCAGGGGAATAAACTAAATAAGGGAAGAAATAATAGTTTTTAATTATTATTTTCTAAAGTTCAACAGATTTGGGAATTGCAGCAAAGGACTGGGGAACGGCAAATATAACTCCGCTCGTCTTTTAAAATAGTGGTATGGGATCTTTAGCTTTCACCCGAACGGTAGGTTTAATGTCTCTTCCAAAGGATAGCACTCCAACGACGCAGCACATCCCAGTACTATTTTCAGTGGCAGATCAACAAAAGTGCCTTGGTGCTAGGCTCACACTCAGAAGGTGCGAAATCAGCAGATCCTAGTAAAGATTGATTGTGGTGAGGAGGGAGAGGTGTGTGGAAAAAGGGAGGCTGGGGACTACTGGATGGGGGAAGGGGGGGGAAGAAGAATATCACATCGAGACACATTTTTGAAGTTGTTATCTGCGTTCATGCCAGAAGCAACAAAACACCAGGTCTGTCCACAAATCACTAGGTGCACAAATAAGCAAGATATACAAGTTTCCTTCAGACTTGAAAGATGAATCAAAACTCACAACCTTGTATCATCGTGGTTTGAGAAAAACAATTTGATTTGAACTTCTTATCACCAGCCTTTGATTAGCTGTAATACCAATTATCTAGAGCACATCAAAATAATACAGCACTCAAAGGGGCGTTTTACCAGCTGATTGATTTAAAGTTAAATTCCAACTAATAATTACTGAAATAGATAACAAGTCTAAATGTTGAAATAATTTTGTTACTGCTTTAATGGATGTCTCTCATTTAATTCTTGATCCCTTGGCTATGAAGCACTTTGATGCTTGTCAATATATCGACATAGTGGAGAGCTCTTCATTCCATCTAACTAATACTAAAAGCTTTTTCAAATAACTCATGGTTACACAACATCAAACCCTCGTTGCTTGCTCTTTGTCATTTTAAAAAGTCTAAAATCCTGAAACGTACACAAATTAAAATGATACTGTTTGAAAGGGAAAGGGAGTTACTCCTGGTGTCGTGGCCTACAATTCCCCACATAAAATTGGTCATAAAATTCACTTCATGGCTGTTTGCAGGACAATACTGTGTGCAAATTGGCTGCTTCGTTCGCCTACAAGCTATAGTCACTACATTTTAGAATAATCCCTGAGAAGCACTTGGAGACAGCTCGACAATCTGATATGACGCTATATCAAATGCAAGAATTATTATTTCGTTTAGAAGTCGATCTGGAAATGAGAAATTAATATTTTTTAAAAAACAAGCAATCATGTTTTAACTTTCTTGGTGTTAAAAGATTTGCCTGTTTGGTTACAAGGTCAATCAAAATACTGAAGATTTTTAAGCATTTTGCTGCACTGGCTACGAGCCACGAGTGATGAAGTGCTATATTGTATATGGTATGACTAAATGGTAAAACAAAAGGCAATTTCCCAAGCAACATCTGAGCTGGTGTGCCTAAGAGAATACAACCATCTGCACTTGTAGGATTCAATTGTCAGAAGTCTCAATAGCTGCATATAAAAAACATTGTGAATCAATGTAGTGCGTTTTTTGTACAGCGAACAGATCAATTAGATATTATCATCCAGCAATCCCAATATTCCAAAAAATTCATCTATCAACAATGCAAAGTACTGTTTGTGCTGCAAATAACTGAAGTTAGACTGAAAGTCTGTGTTTAAAGGCCTGAATGGTGCTGGTTCTGGTAGGAAATGATGGTTTGTGCATGAGTTAATATATGCCAAACCACAGGAACACAACAATGTTTGTGTAAGAGTACAGGGCATAATTAGTGCTTGAATATGTAAATAAAAATGATCCGGGATATTAACACACTACTGCCACAGCTAGAGACTGCGAACAGTAGCTCAGCTTTTCAGCAATATGAATAAATTAAAATATTCTCCTGTTGCTTCATCTTTCATCCTTCCCATGTTAAAAGGAAACGCAAGGATTATTGTTAATGAGACTAGAAATATAGAAAGCATGTAGAAAAGGGGCCTTATAGGCCTGAGTTGATTTAAAAAGGCAGATTTTCAAGAGATCTTTTAAAAGGCTTTAATCTTTTGTTGGCTTTTTTTGAATTTATAATAATAACCCTTGAATTTGATTCAGCTCCTTTTCAAGTATTCGAGACGTCTCAAAGCGCTTCAAAGAATATACCGTAAAGTTAATTAACTGTATATCTTGTGGGTGAAACGCGGCAGCCAATTGCGTGCATCAGTGTCCCACAAACAGTTGTGGATTGAGTGACCAAATTATTATTATTTTCTATATTTTTTTGGAAGAGATTATTACACCCGGAAAAGCGATTCACCAACCGACTAACAACTGGGTTTCATCCTAAAGTATTGTTCTGGGTTTACTTTTGCAACTCCACTTAAAATTTTATACACCACTACGAAATTCCCTCTGAATCGTCTTCTCTCAAGACCGCAGTCCAAGCTTAAGATTGAATAGCCTCCTTGTGCTGTAAATCTTCTACAGTTTCCAATCAAAACTAACACAAAATAGAAATGAACAAAGGAAAGAAAGTAAAAGCTTATCCACCTCAACATCAGTGTTAATCAGTTTTCACAGATGAATACTAAAACTAAGGACGTTTCTGCCATCCTGAACAAGTTAGATATACAAGTTTGATCTCGTCACACTGTATATTTAAACTATGAGGCCTACCTGCTGTAACCTGTTAGTCTCCTTCTTTCGGTTGTGTAACTGTTGATAGGTGGATATTTTTCTTGAGCCCAGAGTGTCTTTATTACGTTCCACAATATTCTCTTCTGGTCTAGTTTTCTTTTCCAATTTCCTGTCATGAATGATTTCAACGTCCACGTTGTGTTGTCTCCTGTTATCCGTGTTATGATTGATACTTACACCGCTATGAGCTGACTCGTGTTCCTGGTACCGCTGATACTCTTTCTTGTATTGATCGTTTAGTGTCCCATACTCACTATGATCACCATTAGCTTTATCCCGAGGTGCTGGGTCTGGTATTTTCCTTGTTCTGTTTGTCCTGCAGTTTCGCCAATTACCTTTATCGGTCTCATTATGAGATCGCTGGGAGTTGAGAGAATCAGAAAATTCTTCATCATTATCTTCATGCATGTAATAGGGAGAAGGCGGTCTTTTCCTTTCCGTCTGTGTTCCTGTGTTATACTTTCCTTTCAAATTCAATCTAACTGCTTGAGGTTTATATTTTGGTTGTTTCTGTTCCAATGCATCGCTGTGTTCGTTTTCAGATTCATTGGAGTTTCCAGATGTCTTTTCTAAGATATCATTTGAATCATCAAATGAGTTTTCCAATGAATCAGGAGAGTACGGTGTTTGAGGCTGATGCCTATGCTTGGATACAAGAACCTGTGTTCCTACACAATTCTCCTTCCAATTGGGATTGTACCGCAGGTTGGCATATCTATCACTGGAATTAGAGCTGGAGGGAAAAAATTGAAACATGGATTATAGCAAAAACAAAATCTGTGGCTCATGATTCTGCCAAAGTTCTAACTTTTAATCTGAGCTTTGTATGTGGTAATAAAACAAGAGATTTTTTAAAAATACTGTTCAATTGATTGTGCGATTAAAAATAGCAAAACACCAGTGACTAAACTGATTGTTAGCAAGTGTTAAATATTCAACATTTCATCGTTATGTTTTTACTTTTAAGTAGATTACTTTCATAAATCTTGGACAAGAAACTGCTTTGAGGGTTTATTAATCTCATTGTAATCGAGGCATTTTCATTCAAGAAGGTTCAAATGCAGTTTAAATCGGAATGGAATGTATATAGTTAAACTGACCATGTACTTAAAATAAAATATCAATTGACTGCAAAACAAAGAAGCAAATGAAAGCTAAATGGTTAATAATGTGAATTCATTTAAGGCGTTCAAAGAGAAAAGCGAGTCCATTTATTAAGTCGGTAACCTAATGTATGGTTGTAATTAGAGGGGAAACATCCCCAATTTTAGTTGGACCTTGTCTGAGTAGAGCAGTGATTGTGAGTCTATTATGTTATAAATGGATATTTTATTTTATTTTGTGTGATCAAGCACTTATAATGTAGTCCATTAACCTGCGGAAATGTTACTGAATGTGTATATGAGACACACACCCCAACCCCCCCCACCTCAGTAACTCCATTAGTCATCCAAGAATTTGAAGTACTTGCCCATCATCTGTTGTATATCCATCAACAAAAGTGCTGTGTAACTATCATCTGCCTAACCTTTTATTCCACTGGAAACAAAAAAAAACTTTTTTTTCCATGGTATGACTATCAAGGAGCACTTCACACTCATTTTGTTTCAACACTGGGGCCGAGGTCAGAGCGAACAACAGGACCCGTTTGCACATCACGCAGCAAAATAGACCGCTTGAGATTCATATTCAGATGGCTCAATGGTTCAGATCATTTGAAACGATCCTTTCTGGCTGTTAGCTGTCTTCACGAGCAGGGCTTCAAGCATTGGGGTGTTTGCAACACTTGCATTTCACATATTGTTATTGAGTCATGAGTTCAGCTGCCGGACCCCACTACTTTGTCACCTTTTACAATACACGTCTCTCTGAACAGATTGATCCTCATACTTCTGAGCACCTCAATGGCATAAAGCCAGCTTGCTGCAGAAATAGAGCATACATGCATATTTAAACTGATTGTGTGGAAACGGTATCCGTTCAAACAGAGGATGTAGCAAAAGCAACTTTTTTAAAAAATGGTGCATTGATTTGGACAAATTATCTTTTTCACCAATATAGCTTTTCACGTGCGTTGCCCATTGGAGTAACAGCTGCCTAGCGTGATACAGGTTTACAAACTTTCCCAGCCATGACAACATCTGCAGCCAGAGTATGTGACATATCCCAGGCATCATATGACAGTCTCAATCTCTTGGGTTTAAGGAAGAGTTGCACTGACTGCCCTGAATCAGTGCCAGTGTTTTGGGCTTTCAATCTATGCAACTGTCATATTCTACCAGTCTGTAGCAGGTCCCGAGGTAAATAATTGTGTGCTATTATAGAAGTATCTATACTTTATTATTATAAATTAATCCCTCCAAAAAACAAAACCAATAATAAATTGGTCATTTTCAATCTACTGCTGTGTGCAATTGGCTGCCGCGTTCACCCACAAATATAAAGTAAATTCACTTTACAGTGTGTTCTGTGAAGCGCTTTGGGACGTCCTCCCGACGTGAAAAGCGCTATATCAAATGCAAGGATTATTATTATATTATTATATCTCTCTTGTGGTCTAACTGTCTGAAAGTGACGGAAGCAGCTGGAGTTGAAAATGGACCGACTCTAACCTGTGAAACACTTTCATTTTTGTGCTCTTTCAGTCTTTGGTGAAAGCTGACATAAAGCTTGCTCCAGTGAGCGAATTGAGTGCAATATAATGAAAACACAGCGATGCTGCACTCTGTCGAAGCACAAGCCATAGTGCCACACTCAGGGCTGGACAGGTACTGTGGGGTAGCCAAATGGCCTACTGCTTTATAATGTTCTTTATCCCACTGTTAAATCGGTCATTATTCAGTTCATGGCTGTTTTGGGACACTGCTGTTAAAATGGCTACTGCGTTCGCCTATAAATACACTCACTTTATAATAAATCCTGGAAAGTGCTTTACGACAATTTGACTATGTGATTAAGCTAGATTCCTTTAGGAGCCAATGGAGCCTGGGGAGAACTGGGGTGATGGACATGTGGAGTTTGGTGCTGCTGAGAATGCGGCATAGGTCTGAAGCGCTTTGGGACGTCTAGAAGACGTGAAAAGCGCTATATCAAATGCAAGGATTATTATTATTAGTAGTAGTTTTGATTCAGCTGGATCGTATGCATAGAGGAATGAGGGAGAATAAGGAGTGTGTTTGGAAAGTGGCTATTGAGACCATTTCTAATGGAAATACAAAAAACGCCCAGAAATGTAAGGTGTTAGAGACCAAATATGCTGCTGAAGGTTCGATTGATATTGTTTCTCTTGAATTCAGTATCATTAAAGCTTATTTTCCCATTAACTCCACAACTACCGCAACTGTTTAAATTGATATAAGTTATTTCAGGATTTAATGGAGGGCCCTGTATGTAGAACTGCCCTTTGCTGCATTTCTCAAGCTTGAAATTCAAGATTTTCTCTGATTTAATTAGATTTCCTCAAGAGAAAAAAATAAATACCTTGTTTCATCATTGCTGTTGTACTCAGATTCAATCTTCCACCTCAACTGCTTATATTCATCTGGTGTTTCGTCCAGACTGTCAAAGGAACTGCATCCCTCCTCACCCTCACACTCGGTGTCACACTCAGTGTCCTCCAAAGTCCGAGTTACAAACTCTTGGTTCTCTCGAATACGCTGGTGAAGCTTCAATTGGTACTGTTTCTCTTGAATTAAACTCTTTGAATCGGATTCCGGAGACTCATGCAAACTCCAGTGCAAATTCTCGGGTAATTCGTGCTGTTTGGTGTGAGCCTGCGGATTGATCGAGTTTCTCCTGGGTGGGGTACTTTCTTTCTTTATCATTATTCCAAAATTCTAGATGCTACAGTAAGCTTTTATTGACTGATCATTGTCCAGGAATAGTTGGCACTGAAGATTATGTTGATGTCAATAGCATTCTCTCGATTTCACTCCATTCATGAAAGGTTCAGTCCTGCTTGATGTCACGGTCTTTCAATTCAACTGCACTTCTAATGCCTTTGACTTATTCATTCACCATCTTAAAACAAAAGCAAACAAAATATTACAAAAGGACCATAGAAATGGTCTCAAAGATCAGTATGATGCCATACAATATGATTGTTCTTTAAACACAAGCCTTTTGTCAGCTATTATAAGTCTTTGCAAATTAAACTCTTCAATAGAATAGATAAAACTGGATTTGATAACACTCAAGGACTATTAAAGCTGATTTTTGTTCCCCAAATAAAAACTTGGGTATTCATCTGGTATTTTGGGGTCACAAAACCAGGAGATAAATGGGGGAGGGCGGGAATAACACAAAAAAGGGAAATTTGGTAAAAATTGGGATTTATTTTGCAACACTATAAAAACAGATAAATCACACCAGATACTTTTGTTTTTGGTCAGCTGCGTATCCAAACTAGACTGAATGTGCCATATTTCATGTCGCATACATATGGAAAATTTCATTTCTGGAATAAATTGCTCACTTTTCCCTAGAGGGATGCACTCTGTTTACCTTATTCCAAAGCATTTGGCCCTTGTTGGAAAGAGCCAAGGTATAGGGATCCCAGAGTGTGCGTTTGGGTACTGCTGGAGTTTAACTGCATATTTGCAGTTGCATTGCAAGTATCATCAAACTTCCCGCTGATTGTTCAGTTTAAAACAACAACATCCATTAGGGCTTTGGCTCGTCATGTTACAAGAACCAAGAGCGAAGAATTCCTGCCTCCATTAATTGTTAACCATCACCATGATTAAGTGTCTTAAAACCAGACCTGCTTACCTAATTCTGTCGCAGATTGGCATCTTGGGGACCCCAGAGTATGTGCTTGGATATAGTTTAACCAGCTAAAGCCTTATACCTTACAGTATTGTAGGCAAGTTTCCGTTGCTTGTCCAGCTTGGACCACCTTACTAATTATGGCTTTGCAAAGTTAACACAACCTGAGTGGGTACAATCGTTCCTCCCAGATAGGTCCTCAGTCTTGATGTTGGAAGGATGTCTCAAAACCCTTCAAAGGAATTACTGTTAAATAAATCTGTTACTGTAACTGTAAATGAGGCAGACAATTTACACACAGCAATGTCCCAAAAAAAAGGCATAAGATAAATGACTAATTTTTTTCCAGCCACGCAGCATTCCCCCAGCAATGCATTGGAGTCTCAGCTTCGATTCTGCGTTCAAAATCCTGGTCTGCGTATGTGTGGCCGCCAATTTTTGAATAGACAAAGGTTCCACAAATAGGCAACTCAAAATATCGAGAAATTGCTCACCAACTCCACTGTAATTGTTGACATTTTACCAGACTGCTGTGTCATCAATCACCCTATACCCGGTAGATTTCTGATTTGAAGTGGGCCAGCAACACTGTTTGCATGATGACGGCTTTTGAAGCATTTTCTTTGGCCCAATAACAGATAACTGGAGTGATGTGATCTCGAGGCGGTAACCTCATCACAGGTTGTGGGGTAAGAGAGGCAGAGTGGGAGGGGCAGAGCGGGGGGAGCAGAAACTATGCGTTGAGGCAGGCAGAGTGGTAGGGGCAGAGGTCACAGGTGGGCAGGTTATCGTGGGATGGGTAGAGGTCACAGGTGGGCAGGTTATCGTGGGATGGGTAGAGATCACAGGTGGGCAGGTTATTGTGGGATGGGTAAAGTTCACAAGTGGGCAGGTTATTGTGGGATGGGTTGAGGTCACAGGTGAGCAGGTTATTGTGGGATGGGTAGAGATCACAGGTGGGCAGGTTGTTGTGGGATGCGTAAAGGTCACAAATGGGCAGGTTATTGTGGGATGGGTTGAGGTCACAGGTGAGTAGGTTATTGTGGGATGGGTAGAGGTCACAGGTGAGCAGGTTATTGTGGGATGGGTAGAGCTCACAGGTGGGCAGGTTGTTGTGGGATGGGTAGAGGGGGTGAGACAGAAGCGACAGCGTGAAACAGGTAGAGTGATAGGAGAAGAGGGTGCAGATGCAAGGGGCAGAGTGAGAGGCGGAGAAATGGAGGAGCAACGTGAAAAATTTAGATTCTGAGGGGAGGTTCTGCGTTGAGAACAAAGACAGCGCAGTGGAAGGGACAGAGGCCATGAAGTCAAAGGAATAGGGTTTTGGGGTAAGTTAGGTGGGGATTCCTGAGTGAGAGAAGAGTTTGGAGCCAAAAGAAGCTGAGCAAGAGGGGTAGAGGGTGCAACACAAGAGAGAGGTTGAGTTTGCTGGTGGCAAGCTGCAGGAGATCTTTTTGAAGAATGAGGGTGACAGGGATGGAGTCCACAGCGACTCCGGGGTGAGACAGGCAGAGGCCGCTGATTACTAGTGGGGCAGAGTGAGCTGGTCACAGGATCTGTGGTGAAGGGGGAGTCTTCAGAAACGAATGGTGTGTTGAAAGTGGCTGACTGAGAGGGGGTAATAGGGATGGGTGGGAGAAAAAGGTATGTGGGAAAGGGGAGAAGCATTGGAGGCGTGATAGAGCGGGGAGACGAGGAAGAGTGGGGAGGTGAGGCGGTTGGAGGAGTGGCTGGGCGAGGGGAGGATGGGGATGCTTTTTGGGAGGACTGAGGCTGAGTTTTAGGTGAGGTTACGGTTGTGGCAGAGGATACCACTGTGAGTGAGGGTTTGGAGGAGGTTACAGATTTGTGGGTGGTTTGGGGTGAGGGGTTAGTTATGGACAGAAGAGGAACAGGAGGGGGAGTGGTGGGAAGATCAGGTTGGAGGTCAGAGGGGGGGGTGATGGGAATTGGATCAGGTTTGGGGACAGGTTTGAGGGCACTTTTGGAAGCAGGTTTGGGGGCAGGGGGGAGTTTGGTGGGAAGTGGATCAGGTTGGGGGGCAGGCGAGACGGTGGCGGGAGGAGGTTTAGGTTGGGGGGCAGGTTGGGGGGTAGGCTGGCGGGCGGCGGGAGGCGGTTCAGGTTGGGGGGCAGGTTGGGGGTAGGCGGGCGGGCGGCGGGAGGCGGTTCAGGTTGGGGGGCAGGTTGGGGGGTAGGCGGGCGGGCGGCGGGAGGCGGTTCAGGTTGGGGGGCAGGTTGGGGGTAGGCGGGCGGGCGACGGGAGGCGGTTCAGGTTGGGGGGCAGGTTGGGGGGTAGGCGGGCGGTCGGCGGGAGGCGGATCAGGTTGGGGGCAGGTTGGGGGGTAGGTGGGCTGTTGGCGGGAGGCGGTTCAGGTTGGGGGGCAGGTTGGGGGGTAAGCAGGGGGGTGGCGGGAGGCGATTCAGGTTCGGGGGCAGGAGAGGGGGGGAGGCGTCGGGAGGCGGTTCAGGCTTGGGGGCAGGTTGCTGGGCGGGGGGGTTGGTGGCGGAGCCGCCGTGGTGAAAGAGCCGGGTTTTAGAGGTGGGGAAGCCGTGGAAGGACCTCTTCTTCGGGGTGGTGGGCGGGGGGACGAGTTCGGTGGTGAGGGTGGGAGACGAAGCCGAGGGGAGGCGCTGCGAGCCGGGAGGCGAGGTCTTGCTCTGGCTCGAGGACTTAAACGTGGGGAAGGTGGTGAGCGACTTGGGCTGGGGCGGGGCGGACTCGTACACGGGCGCCTGGGCGGGGATGCTGAAGTCGGGGAAGCTGGTGAGGGTGCCCAGCACCATGTTGGACGACATGCCGGGGGCCACGGACGACATGGAGGAAGGCGGGGCCAGCGGCGGGCTCTGCGGCGGGGCCCGGCTCGGGGAGCCCCTGGCCGGCCGGGCGGTGGAGGAGGCGTGGAGCTTGCGGGGGGAGCTCGCCATCTGGCGGGAGGAGGTGGGCATCAGGCTGGAGAAGTCGGAGGGGTCGGAGGTGATCGGGATGGGGGGGAAGTAGGGGAGAGGGTCAGGGGTCGAGGACCCCTCCTTGCTGGACATCAATCACCCTGCGGCTGACCCCACTCCCCACTCCCCCACCCCAACCCCCCCCTCCCCACCCACCACACACAGACACACACACACACACACGCTCTGCTCTGACGACCACCCCCTCCCCCCACCACCCCACCCCCGCTCCCCCCACCCACACACACACACACACTCACTCACAGACACCCTCAACCCCCGGTTGCTAAGGGCCCGTGTGGAGGGAGAAGGGGGGGAGGAGAGAGGAAAACAGTACGCGGTTGCGAGGGACCGGAGAACCGTTGCTAAGGGGGGGGGCGGCCGGTCGGCGGGCGCGCGGGCGGGCGGGCCGGGCGGGGGGGGAAGGGGAAGGGGGGTGGAGAGGCGGTATGCGGTTGCTAAGGCCCGGGACCGGGAGCTGGACTTACCCGCTTTTTTGTCGCGCCCCCCCCACCCCTACCCACGCCGCACACCCCCCGCCCCCCTCACTTTTTCCGCCGTTGCTAGGCTGTGCGGCGGCGTCGTCGGCGTCGCCGTGGCAACGATTCCCGTGACCTCACGGCGCACGTCGGTCGGCGCGCGACGTGCCGACGCGGGGCGGAGGGGGCGGGGCGGAGGGTGGGAGGGAGGAGGGAGACGCGGAATACGTTGGTGGATGACGGAGCAAAGGACGTGGGTTTCGCGCCGGAGGTGGGGGCACGGAGCATGCGCGGGGTTGGCAGGGTGGGCGGGGCTGCGCGCGTGGGGGTGAGGGGGGCGTCACGGAGCATGCGCGGGGTTGGCAGGGTGGGCGGGGCTGCGCGCGTGGGGGTGAGGGGGGGCGTCACGGAGCATGCGCGGGGTTGGCAGGCTGGGCGGGGCTGCGCGCGTGGGGGTGAGGGGGGGCGTCACGGAGCATGCGCGGGGTTGGCAGGGTGGGCGGGGCTGCGCGCGTGAGCTGAGGGGGGGCGACACGGAGCATGCGCGGGGCGAGGGCTGGAGGAGGAGGAGGAGGAGCGAAGAAGATTATGGCGAAGGTGACGCCGCCTCGGAGCGGTTACTGGCGGCGGAGGCGGCTCGGGCTCCTGGTGCTGCTCCTGGGGCTGCTCCTGCTGTACAGGCTGAGGTAGGGGCCGCCTGCGGGGGTCGGCGCGGGGGACGCCATCAGCCTCGGGGGTGGGGAGGGAGGGAGGGAGGAGGGGGGCGCCGTGTACACGTGACGGCGGCGGCGGATTGTTGTTGTTTGTCGTCGTTCATGGCGTCTCTCTCCCGCCCAACACTGACACACTGACACACACACTGACACCCACACTCACTGACACACACACACACACTGACACACACACACACTCACTGACACACACACACACTGACACACACAGACACACTGACACACACACTGACACTGACACACACACTGACACACACACTCACTGACATACAAACACACTCACACTGACACACACACATACTGACACACACACACACTGACACACACACACACACACACTGACACTGACACACACACACACTGACACACACACACACTGACACACACTCACACTGACACACACTGACACACACACACACTGACACACACACACACTGACACACACTGACACACACACTGACACACACACACACTGACACACACACTGACACACACACACACACACAGACTGCCACATAAACATTGACTGAGACACAAACACTGACTGAGACACACACACACGCATACTAACACGCCCACACTCACTGACACACTGACGTGTGCGATCCGTGGCTGACCGGAGCAGTTAAGGGAAAGCATCAAATTAAAAGAAAAGGCCTATAAAACTGCCAAGAAAAGCAGCAAATCTGAAGATTGCGAGAGTTTTAGAAACCAGCAAAAAAAAACTAAAAAACTCATTAAGAGCGAGAAAAAGGGGTGTGAGGGAAAGCGAGCGACGAGCATTAAGTCTGATTGTAAAAGTTTTTACAAATATATTAAGAGGAATAGGCCGATGAGGGTAAATGTAGGTCCACTACAGTCATGGACGGCAGAAGTTGTAATGGCGGACAAGGACATGGCAGAGTCCAGTCCCTAAATCTGTACTTGGCATCTGTCTTCACCCATAAAGACACAACAAGTCCACCAACAATAGGGATACACCAAACGGATAAGGACAGGGAGCAACTTAGCGAAATTTTCATTAGTAGTGAAATGGTGCTCGGGAAACTGTTAGCACTAAAAAGTGACAAATCCCCTGGTCCGGATGGCTTGCATCCCAGGGTTTTAAAAGGAAAAGATGGGGATCTTCCTTTGGAAAGGAAAAGATGGGGAACTATCGACCAGTTAGTCTCACATCAGCGATAGAAAAATTTTAGAATCATTGATTAAGGATGTGGTAGTGCGGCATTTAGGGCACAATATAACTAGGCCGAGTCAACACGGCTTTACAAAAGGGAAGTAATGTTTGACAAATCTCATAGAGTTTTTTGAGGATATTTCCTGTAAACGAGTTGAGGGTGAATCAGTGGTTGTGGTCTATTGGACTTCCAGAAGGCATTCGATAAGGTGCCGCATAAAAGGTTCGTCCAAAAGATAAGGGCCCATGGAATTGGGAGCATACTAACGTGGATTGGGGAATGGTTAACGGGTAGGAAACAAAGAGTAGGGATAAACGGGTCCTTTTCAGATTGGCGGGATGTGACTAGTGGAGTGCCACAAGGATCAGTCCTTGGGCCTCAACCATTTACCATCTACATCAACGATCTTGATGAGGACATCGAAGCTAATATATCTAAATTCGCGGATGACACAATACTAGGAGGAAGTGTCAACACAGAGGACGACATTAAAAAACTGCAGCGAGGCATAGATAGATTAGGTGATTGGGCAGGTGGGTGGGACATGAAGTATAATGTAGGGAAGTGCGAAGTCATCCACCTCGGGAGCAAAAACCGTAGAGCGGGTTANTTTTTTAGAAGGGGAGAGATTGGAATGTGTTAGTGTCCAGAGGGACTCGGGTGTCCTTGTACACCAATCACAGAAAGTTAGTTTGCAGGTGCAGCAGCAATTAGGAAGGCGAACGGTATGTTAGCATTCATTGCAAAAGGATTAGAGTATAAGAGTAGGGAAGTCTTGCTGCAACTGTATAGGGCCCTGTGAGACCGCACCTGGAATACTGTGTGAAGTTTTGGTCTCCTTATTTAAGGAAGGATGTACTTGCCGTGGAGGGGGTGCAGCGTAGATTTACTCGGTTAGTACCAGGGATGAAGGGGTTGAGTTACGAGGATAGGCTGACCAATTTGGGCCTATATTCTCTAGAATATAGAAGAATTAGAGGGGATCTTATAGAAACCTATCAGATCATCAAAGGGCAATGATAGAGTAGATAGTGGGAGATTGTTTCCCCGGTTGGAAAAACTAAAACCAGGGGTCACAACCTTAAAATCAGAGGCCAACCCTTTCACACTGAGTTGAGGAAGAACTTCTTCACTCAAAGGGCAGTGAATGTATGGAACTCACTACCCCAAAGGGCTGTTGACGCTCAGTCCTTGAACATATTCAAAACTGAGATAGATAGATTTCTTATTGCAAAAGGGATTAAGGGATGCGGGGATAAGGCANGGGTCAGGTTACTAGCTCAAGTTAGATTAGAAGATCAGCCATGATTGAATGGCGGGGCAGGCTCGAAAGGCCGAATGGCCTCCTCCTGCTCCCACATGTTATGTTATGGCTGAGACACCAATTACTGTAAGATAAGACAATTTATATCCTGATCCTCCCAGAACTGCACCATGGATTGTACATTTCTCTGATGCAGATCAAATCTCACTGGATTAACTCTCGCTGGATTAACTATTAAGCTGTAGGGTAATAAACACATGCGGAATATTCAAAAGTCTTAGAGGTGGCAAAACAGTGGCTTCTGCTTCTATTATGTTGGCACAAGTTCTCTACCCTCCAGAGCTCATTGAAGCCCTTTACAAAGAGAGCTAATGTCATGGTTCATGAACAATAGGATATGCAATAGCTCTAATTGTTTAGCAGCTTGCCAGGATTTGTGTAATATTAAACCGCGTGTGTACTCTGCCAAATTGATGGTAGTTTGATTGAACAAATGTCTGGCTGGCTCTTCCATAAACTCAACGGTTTACTAGACTGAGTTATACTCAGTCACTAGATTGAATTCTGTTCGATTGTAACAGCACCTTGGGACTTCCTCCCGAAGTGAAAGGTGCTGTATAAATGTAAATTTGTTTGTTGTAGACCTCAGTTTGTTGTAGATTTTTTTTTCCCCGATGTACATCCCTGGGAGCCGCTGTTTGAGCAGTATACGCTGCAATTTAATAATATAGTAATAATAATCCTTGGATTTGCTGTAGTGCCTTATCGTGATATCCAGACGCTTCAAAGAACGTGACAGGAATCTTTACTGTAAAGTGGTAACTATTTGCAGGCGAACCTGGCAGCCAGTTTGTCCCACAAACAGCCGTAAAGAGAGTGGCTAATTTTATCTGGGGGATTGTTGGGCAGGACGCTGGAAATAAAATCCCTTTTCTTTTCAAATAGAGACACAGGAGTTTTAACGTTCACCTGAACAGGTTTAATGTCTCGTCTCTCCTGACGTAAGGGACTTGAACCCACAACCTTCTGATTCAAAGGCGAGAGTGCTACCACTGAGCCAGGCTAACACACACGCATCCCAATTGTCTGCTCTTTCCTGTGGCCTTTTAAATTCTTCCTCTTGAAATATTTATCCTGTTCCTTTCAAATCTTGTTGTGGTCTCAGCTGCAGAGCCACTTGTGATTTAGAATATCATGCTTCCTTGCCTGAAAGTTTTTTTTTTCCCCTCCGATCTGCCTCTCAACTCTTCCAGTGACTATCCTGAACTCGTGCTTCATCAATAAATACTTGACTCACAGCCACCATCACACAGTGTACTGAAGACGTACTCTCGTTCCAGGTACCACTGGGGTGCCTTGACGCCAGGACAGTTGTCCACCAGAGTCCTAGGTCTGCAGGCGGAGAAGGAATACTTCCAGCTGGAGGGATACAAATTTGTCATCCTCGGAGGCTCCCTGCACTATTTCCGGGTCCCACGGGAATACTGGGCTGACCGAATGCTGAAGATGAAAGCGTTAGGGTTAAACACATTAACAACGTGAGTCCATACAGTGTCTCTGTCTTTGTGACCATTTGTCTTGCAATGTGAGGAAACTGGCATCATGAGAGTGCATCTTAGATATGTAGTGAGTGTGTACAGTGACAATCTTATCCAAGCCTTACTTGGACCTTCGCTAATTTGAATTTTTGCCATTTGGGGGCCGTTTCTATTGTGATAACTGTTTTATCTAATTATTCGGCCAGTTTGCACAGAGGGATATGCTCTGTAAAGGTGAATAAAGTTAAGTGGGATTATTATTTTGAATTGTGTTCAATCGCATGGGGAGGGTGGTCTTTTTTTGGTCAGCTGGCAGATGCAGAAACCCACCACCTCTTAAGGTCACCGTCTTAGTATTCTCCCTGTTGTAGGTATGTTCCGTGGAATCTTCATGAACTACAGATCGGAGTGTATAACTTCAAGAGTGAACTTGATCTTGAGTGAGTAGAAACTTGTTCAACACAGGGTGTTTGACACAGAGGATGAATGAACAAAGGGGCTTGAGGAATAGACTTTGTATGGTCAAGTAGAATTTCCTTTGGTGACGAACAATTTAAAACCATATGAGTGCTTCCCCCTTGTGCTAGTTGCTTATGATTTAGTTCACTGTGTCGTGGGAATGATCTGTGCGTTTTAGCATTGCTTCTTGATTGAGCATCCATTTTATAGGGAGGGGGAGGGAGGTGAATGTCCATGACTTAAAGGTGAATGTAAAAGATCTAATCCTACATGTGAATGGCATTCTCTCAAGGTAATGTCTTACTCTGAGCACACACGTCTGGTCCCTCTTTCAGTTGTCCTGTGTTAAAATTAATATTTCTTTCACAGAGACTACCTTACGCTCGCGAAAGATCTCGATTTGTGGGTAATACTCCGCCCAGGGCCATACATCTGCTCAGAGTTGGATCTTGGAGGTTTACCTAGGTAACAGCACTACTCTGAATTTCTGAATTAAATTGAATAAAAATAATAATGATTATTATTATTATTCTCCCTCTCAATATCCTCTCCACAACCCCCTCATGTGCCCCTGCTGATCCACCCCTCATGTACTCTAACTTAGCCCTTCCAAATACCCTTGCCGACATCCCCTCCAGTGTACTCTCACTGATATCTCTCTCCGCCGCCCGCGCCCCCACATACATACAGCACAGAATCTTTATGTATTTGCTGATAACCCACCTGCAATCTGTGTATTTCATTAATGTTTGAAATTTGCTCCTACGCAGTTGGTTGCTCCGTGACCCGAACATGCGTCTCCGTACCACATACTCTCGCTTTACTCAGGCTGTGGACAAGTACTTTGATGTACTGATGCCTAAAGTTATTCCACACCAGGTAAGGCTGACTTATCATCATAATAATAATAATACTTGCATTTGATATATAGCGCCGTGTCCCGTCGTTGAGACGTCTCACAGAATGTATTTTAAAGTGAATTGAGTGTGTATTTTGCGGGCAAAACTAGCATCATTCCTGCCATTTAACTGGAATTGTGTGTTTTGTGACATTTGTGACATGCCTCTTTATCCTTTCCTTTCGAACACAGAGGAAGGGACTGCTCGGGGAGAGGGGAGGGGGCTCAGGGAGCTCCCAGACTGTGATCTGGGACGGGCAGCAGTAACGGTCATGGTTTCAACCTTGACATTTCTCCCCACGGTTTGTGGTTACAGTACAAGAACGGTGGCCCAATCATCGCAGTGCAGGTGGAGAACGAATACGGTGGCTATAACGAGGATCCTAGTTACATGCTGTATGTAAAGGAGGTCAGTCTGCACGCTCAGAGGCTGCTGGCACATAGATAAGCTGCCTACCCCTGGCACCTCTCAAGTCCTGGAGTAGGCAGAGGTATCCAAATTCTTTATTTAAAGGCATCCTCCCTCCAATGACCTATGAAATCATAGAGTTGTCTAGAGCAATGCAACACAAAAACATGCCAGACCACACTGCGCCAACTAGTCGATTGGCCTTCTGGCAAAGTGTGTAGACATAACTCATTTGTATCACTAATATGCCTATATCTGTCAAACTCTCGTCTGCTTGCATTTTGACGCACTCGTGCCCGCCTTCATCTGTCGATCTAGCTCAGTTGGAGGTGATTAATGCTATTCCTGTTTATTCCAAAAGGCACTGTTGAGCAGAGGAATAGTGGAATTATTGATGACATCAGATAACACGCACGGGCTGCGCCAGGGATCTGTAGCCGGAGGTACGTGCCAGCGGTGTCGGTTACTCTGCTGAATGACCGGAATTAATATAACGAGCTGAGGTTAGCCAGGATGCCATCAGCTGTTCTGGCGAGGACCTGCGGCAGTGTATCCCACGTCACCTTCAACCTGCACATGAAGCAGCCGACCTGGCTGCTTCATGTGCCTCCGCCCTATCTATCGGCGAATGGGCTTTTGGCCATTCTGACTCCCCTCTTTCAAGACACCTCAAGACCTTGAACTGTGCTTTCAGTCATAATCAGGAGTAAGTCTCTTCTTGTCCGTGTGCCCCAATTCTGTTTCTTTGCCTACAGCTTTGGTGACGGTCAACTTTCAGAAGGCAGATTCAGGGCTCGCTCTGCTAAGCGAGCTGCCGGTAAGGTTCTCTATATCAACTGCGACGAATCGGTTAAGTTCATACAGTCGTTCGGACTCGAGCTGTGTAGGGCTCTGGTCAGGCTGCACCACAGACGGGTGGGGGGGAGGGTGTGAGACACTGCATTCTGGGCTCTCCATCTACAGTCCTCTTTGTGATGGTGAATAATTCCAAATGGAAGATGGAATAGACATGTGTGGTGCTTGTCCTCAAGACACAAAGCAAAACATGGGTTTGTCACACGCCAGACTAATAGCCTCATGTATGACACAGTGTTGCTGTTAGAGATTGGCTTGTCTTAAATACCACAGCCGCTGGTGACTTGCCCGGCATTTATGGACACTGCTGCTCGTGGTAATTTGTTCTAATGGGATTATTGCTTTACCCTGAGTCAACAGTCAAGTCAGTAAGATTTATCTCCTCTTCCTATTGTATTTAGGCTGACAAGCCCAAGATGGTGATGGAGTACTGGACGGGTTGGTTCGATCATTGGGGTGACCATCACCATGTCTTCAGTGAAGGTGAATGTATGATCGTCACACCGATTCACTATTTTCTCTCCGGCTAATGATGATTCAGGTGATTTAGCAGTTTGTTCCATTCTCTCACTGTTGCAGGATTAATAGATATCATCACAGCGCTCCTGCTTAAAGACGTCTCTCTCAATCTCTATATGTTCCACGGGGGCACTAACTTTGGGTTTATAAACGGAGCTCAAGATTTCGAAACCTATATTGCTGACGTGACTAGCTATGGTGAGTGTCTGCTCGGTGCTCAATACTCATACGCAGTGAGTTTGTATCAAAATAATATTGTATTGGATAGCATGTCTGATTGAGTAGAAATGTCTGTGTCTGATTGAGGTTCTTGACTGTATTTTGAACACATCAGCAGCCATTTTTCCACAGTTTATTCGCACATACTTGCTCTGCAGTCAGACTCTCCTGGACTCAGTGTTTCAGTGCTGTTCATGTCTCTGTTGAACTGCTGCAGTCTACAAGTGGGGTTGACTGACTGTTTGTGTTGCAGACTATGATGCACCTTTGTCAGAAGCGGGAGACTACACCGAAAAGTACTTCAATCTTCGACAGATCTTCACCACGTATCTCGGTAATCTACAGCGAGAGAATAACAGGCTGGCAGGGAACCCCCCCACACCCTCCCCCCACTCCCCCAGTGTAGGAGGCTTCTAATTCTCCCCTCTTTGGGGGTGGTGGGGGTTGGGGTTGTGGTGGATGGGGATAAGCAGGGTCTAGAGGCTGAGCTGGCTCCAAAGTGGAATCTTGGGAATCAAGTCTACTCTCAGTGGTTCTCTTGGTCATTCGGTTCCTGAACTCGGCAGGTCTGCAAGACTCCGGATGCTGATGACAGCTGTTAGCCTGGCTTGTTGGCAGGACTTAGAGGGTCAGGCACGTCACTGGGGGTAGGGATTCTTCCCACTCGGCTTCTCTTAATCCTGCAACTCAAAGCCCTGATAGATAGCCAGTGTGGTCCTTGTAGACAAGGTTCTGTCTGTTCTTCAAGCGTTAAAGCTCCTTGCTCAGAAGGTTGTGGGTTCGTAGTTTCGGTTTGTTCTAATTGTTCAAATCATTTTCCTACGCAGGTCAAACCTTGCCTAAGGTTCCCGTTGTCACGTTCAAAATGGCCTATGGCACCGTACACCTGAAGGAGTACATCTCACTGTGGGACGCACTCAAGTTCTTACAGATGGTACATAGCAGATATCGGGCAGCACTCACACACGGTAGCCTCAAAGTCTTGCTTCCGAGGCGCATGGAGCACCTGTTCACGACAGTGAATAGCTCTTCCCGGTTTCCCCCTCCCTGCCCACCCCAGCATATGCACAAGACTGCCCCACTCCCAATCGCTCCTTCTCCACCAAACATCCACATACAGCTGCCACTTCCCCATAAACCTCTCACCCGAAACAAAAACAGCCCCCACCCACCCCCCCCATTGTTTACACACGTATCACGCACTCGCGCACACATACAACAAGAGAAGAGAGGTTTTCCCAGGGGGCCTGGCCTACAAACTCTCAAATAAAATTGGTCATTCCATGACTGTTGCCATTTGTCTTTGCCTACAAATACAGTCACTGCATATCACAGTATATCCTTTGAAGTGCTTTGTGATGTCTCAATGATATGATAAGGCACTGAATTCAAATGCAAGTATTATTAGACACAGTGTCCCCAGGCTCTACGATTGTGTGTATTAACTCTCCTGAAAGAATAATAATAGTACTTGCATTTGATGCAGCGCCTTATCACGTCTTCCACGATGTCTCAAAATTGTCGGAATGTTTAGTGTTAAATATCCTAACTGTGTGCTTACAGCCAATTACCAGTGATACGCCCATCAACATGGAGAACCTGCCCATTAACTCAGGCTCTGGCCAGGCCTTCGGCTACACCTTGTACAGCACAGTCATAACCAGCGGAGGAACCCTGGCATCTGAAAACCATGTCCGGGACAGAGCGCAGGTCAAGCAGGAAATCCTTATATTAAAGCAGCTTTCACCCGCAAAATATACCGTCAATTCACTTTACAGCATATTTCCGTGAAGCGCTTTTGAGACGTCCCTAAGACGAGGATTATTATTATTACTGTTTCCGCAGGTGTTTGTTGACGGCAAATCTGTGGGATTCCTGGACTATGACAACTTGGAGCTTAACATCCCTGAGGCTGAGGTAGGTACCAGGAGTGTTATTCTACATCGGTCACTGCCGACAATATTTAATAATGTCCAGCAAAGCTGAGTGTGGCTGGCATGGCGGCTTGTGCTTGTGCCTTAGCCAGCGAGCTTCACATCAGGCACCTACAAGGTCTCTGGTGCTGGCTCCCTAACAATGGAAGAATAAGAGCAGCCCCACCCGGTCTCTGATGTTACATTTCTATGCGACGGATACGATGAGGGTGCTTGTCGTTCGGCATTTCTCTGGGGTGCAGGTTTGTGTCATTCACTGTGAACATGTCAACACCCCCTGCCCCTGTGTCTCTGCTCGCACCCCAGGGGAAACGCAAGCTGAGCTTGCTGGTGGAGAATCGCGGCCGAGTGAACTACGGCCTGAAACTCGATCAGCAGCGAAAAGGTACAGTGTCACGAGATACTGATACACCCTTACACACTACACACTACCTCCTACACACACTACACACACACAGTGAAACAAGGGACTGATACTAACACACACACGCTATCTGCCACACACAGCACTGCCTCCTGCACACTCACACAGCGTAACGAAAGACTGTACACAACACTGCCTTCTACGCAAACATTCACACTCACGCTGCAGTAGTTGTCAGCGCGATCGATATCTGTTCAGGCTGTATGTTTGACGTGAACGCACAGCCCAAACTGTGCCTGATGCACAGACCAAACACAGAGTGAAGCTGCTTCATTTCGACCCAATCCTGTTGCAGGTATAACGGGAGACATCTTTCTGAATGACAAGCCTCTGAGGGGCTTCACCATCCACCCCTTGGAGATGAAAACCAATTTCATCGAAAGGTAAAACCCTATATCTGCACTTTCTGCTCCATGTGCAGGAGATTTGATCTAAGCAACACAACTCGTCTGTTTCGTAGGTTAGATGTGGAACTCACTTCCTCCCTTTCCTCCTTCAAAGCCGGTCTCAAGACTCTTCTTTTCAATTGCGCCTTCGGTCGCCCTCCCACCTCTCTGCCTCCCTCACCCCTACCCTACCCCTCCCCCATGCTCGGGTCCAGCCCCCTGAGTGAGCAGGGCTTTGGGACATCCTCCCGACGTGAAAGGCGCTCTATAAATGTCATTTTGTTGTTGTTGTAGATCAAATCTCCACCATTGGTGGGTGGGCCTTTAGTCTCTCTGCCCCCACCCTCTGGAACTCCATCCTACAGTCCCTCCATCACTCCCCCTCCATTGCATCCTTCAAGACCCGTCTCAAAACCCTCCTCTTCGAACCGTGCCTTTGGTCACCCTCTTATGCTTACCCTCTCCCTCCTCCACCCCTCCTAATCCCAACCACCAGCTCAGGTGCGGATCTCTGACTATCCAGCACCTTGAGAAGTCCTTCTGACGTGAAAGGCCTGCACAAATGTAATTTGTTGTTGTTTCTGCTGATTTTGCTTCCTGTAGAAGTCAAGTCACACTCCTCCTCCAGTCCCCCCCCACCCACCACCCCAGTCCTCCCCCACCACTCTCACCATAGCTTTTGGTGTTGACAATGCGTAACTCCTGACCTTTGGTTCTCTACCTTTCTTTCTCTCACTGCTGAAGGCTCTCTGCTGTTGACTGGGCTGTAACCCCTCAAACTCCCACAGTGCCTGGATTTTTCTGTGGGCTTCTGAGAGTGGATTCATTGCCGTATGATACATTTATAAAATTCCCGGTAAGGAAATGCCGTTTTCCCCCAATGTAGATTTTTCTTGTGATCCGCTGGGTGTCCGACACTAAAGGAAGCCCTGTTTCCAAAAAAAAGTCACTCAGTCCATGACTGTTTGTAGGGACACTGCTGTCCGCAATTGGCTGCCGCGTTTCTCCCACAAAATATACAGTCAATTCACTTTACAGTATGTTCTGTGAAGCATATTGAGACGTCTCGAAGACGTGATAAGGGGCTTTATCAAATGTGAGGATTATTATTATTGTTAGGAGCCTCAAAACTAAATGATCACAAGTTTCACTCGCTTATATATTCTTTTTGCTGAGGACTGTACACTCTCTCCCAATACGGACAGACCCTGTTTACCTAGTCCAGTAGAATTTTAGCAAGAGCCAATGCTTGGGGAGACCAAAGTGTACTGATGATGTATACCCTACCATAGCAGATCACTAGGAAAGTTCTTATCATAGATACACCAGGGTAGTGGACATCCAGTGACAATTCACTAGATCAGTGCCTAGGCTGATGCTCTGTTTTCCCAGTGAGGAAGTCCTTTGCATCCGATCTTCCTTCGGGTGTAGATGTCAGCAGCTGTTAATAGCCCGAGAAAGCGAGTGGATTTGCCATCAGACACCCCAGAGCAATGATATTGCTCCTCAATCTTTCAGGGCTGGGGGAAAGGCGTGGTCTTTGTGAACGGACTCAATCTCGGCCGGTATTGGACGGTGGGACCCCAGCAGACGCTGTACCTGCCAGCACCCTGGCTACATCATGGCACTAATGAGGTGAGAGCAGACTTAAGTATATGTGCATTCGGTGAAACCCTGGCTCCCCACTAGGGCACAGTGTCAGTGATGGTGCAGCCTAACCCGCTCTCACTGACTACAAACCATTTCGTAAGGATTGCTCGCTGCTCTTTCACACACAGAGAGCCATACGAGGAGTAGCCTGTGAGGCTGTTCCCTGTATTGGCACCAGTTTCCCGTGCTGTGGAGCCCCTCGGTTTAGTATCAGAATCTCTCTGTGGTGCGTGTGATGTGAAGGACAAGGAGCAGAGACTTTCACTGCTGATGGTGTGAACATGTGACAGTCATTGTCAGCAGCACTGAGATGGTGACCAGAAGGCAAAATGCCCGCAGATGCTGGAAATCTGAAATAAAAAAAGAAATGGCTGGGAACGCTCAGCAGGTCAGGCAGAAACTATGGAGAGAGGAAAATGGGTTAACGTTTTAGGTCGATGACCTTCGTCAGAACATTCTGACATTTTATTTCTTGTATCAGTGATGTTCTCTATGGTTTAATCGATATAGAAACTGAGCCCTCTGCATTGATGTTGTGGCATTTGTCACTTTTCCCCTTTAGATTGTAATTTTTGAGGAGAGCAAAGCAGGAACCATCGCAGAGTTTTCTGATACCCCAGATTTGGGTGGTGTTTGACCATCAGGATGGACTTTTCCTGGATTGAACCGTCAACCTTTTAACTAATGAAGATTTCGATGTAAGAAACCTCGGATGTACAGTCAATCATATGTTGGAAATTGATCTTCAGTTGTAAAGTTTCTGGAAATATTGCTGGTTGCATTCTCTTTTGTAAAAATTCTCTATTACACTAGTTGAAGGTTTTGTGTAAATTTATAACGGTAGTGCTTTAATTTGATAGAGAGCCATTGATACATCTCAAAGTGCTTCAGAGTTTTCTTTGTAAAACAGTGTTAAAGTACAGTAAAAGTATGTCGGCAAATGTAGCAGCCAACTTGCCGCAGCAGTGTCTCACAAACGGCCACAAAGTGAATAATTAATTTCATATAGTTAACGTGTTTAAGCAGGTTACAGGGGAGGTTGTAGATCACTGAGTGAGATCGGGACGAGCTAGGGGGGGGGACAACAGTAGTTCACCAAACGCACGATCAACAGGCTTTCAAGAAGGGATTTGAAATTAAATTAAGAAAAATTAAAACTGTGAAGAGAGGATGTAAAGGGAAGGAATTTTAGGAGGGCGTCCCAGAGAGCAGGGGTGACAGCTTGGCTGGTGATCAGATGGAGGGGGCGAGGGACATGAAGCAGACACTTGATTGAGTGGAGGGAGCTGTCGGGGAGTGGGACTGACTGAAATGACAGGAGTCAGTGGAGCAGGGCTTTGGTCAATGCAAGGGACCTGGGAGTCGACTCTGTTCTGTGAGCACACAATGTGGGTTCCCTCACTCAGTCTGACCCCAGGAACCTTTCTGCTGATCTTACACAGCTAAGCCCCTTACCCAAAAGAGCATTGCCAGCATTAGAGGTTTACCTTGTGTGGTGCGGAGGATGTTACAGGTGGACAAGAGCGCAGTGGCCCTGTCATGCTCGTCCCCATGAGGTGGGGAATGACGGAGCATCAGTCCAAGCTGCTGTGACGCACGTACTAGTGGCTGGAGCTCTTTGTCTCCTCGGTAGATTCCCTCACCAAGTGAGCAGTGAGCATAAAGTAAATTTTACACCTTTATGCTCAGGTCTACATTGAGCCACTGTGCCTGCGAGTGAGTGAGCGAGCGAGCGAGTAAGCGAGCTGCATGTGGAAGCAATGCAAGTATGTATGTGAGGTATCACGTGTGTGTGTGTGAGAGAGGGTGCCTGTGTGTGTATGTGTGAGAGGTTCCCTGTGTGTGTGTATGCAGGGTACCAGTGTGCATGTGTGAGGGGGTGCCTGTGTGTGTGTGTGCGTGTATGTGAGAGCGTGTGTGTATGTGTGAGAGGGTGCCAGTATGAGTATGTGTGAGAGGGTGCCAGTGTGCGCACAGCCACTACAGAGCCACATGGCTTTGTCAGTCTTTTATTTTTGGATTTTTAATTTACTAAAACATCAGAGATTGTTGAGCACTGAACAGAACATTAACATGCAGAAAGGTTGCAGGCGCGAAAGACAAAGAAAAAGGAAATCTATTCCTAGTCGTGTAGTGTGAGAAACAAATCATTAAGAGCGTTTTTTTTTATCAGCAATTTCTCTTTATCCGGTCGAGACTTATAATGACATTGAAACGGACTAAAAGAACTTCTTAATTGTGACCAATTCTCTCCGCATCGAGCACAAACTGCAGGGGCTGCCCGTGGCGTTACGACCAGAAGCCTCCGATTGCTGCTGAGCTGTCTGTCTCTCGAGCTTCATTCGTTCATATTCCCTTTGTGTTTGCTGGATGCAGATTTCTGTCTAAGCTCAATACATTCCATCCCCATTGCCCCATCTACTGGTGCGGCCGAGAACCTCACAGACTCCCAGCACTGTTTCTACTCAGATGAAAAGGCAAACCAGCCGAAAGGCTTGATATTTGAGAGACTTGCAATGATAGACCCCCAACTGCTTAATTCACTACGTGTTATTTCGCCGCCTCTGATAAATGTAGTGGATTTTATTTCAGCCCCAACGATGGCACGGAATGTAATTTTACATTAAATTGTTTTAAGTGTTATTTAATAATTTAAGTTGTGTTCCTTTTTTTTTCACATGTATAACTTGCACTGGGGGGGGGCGGGGGGGTCACCTTCTACCAAGGATAGCACTCTGTCCTTTGAGCGCGAGGAGCAAATTAATCCGCAATGCTTTATCCGGAGTGTTGCAGTTTCCTTTCGCTTAACTCTCGTGGGGAGAAATTCGACCTGGGTTTAGACTTGTTCGATTAGAGTCGCATTTCAGAGCAGCCAGACGATGGCAAATTATTCAACCCATAGAAACAGGAGGAGGCCATTCAGTCCCTCGAGCCTGTTCCACCATTCTATAAGATCATGGCTGGTCTGTACCTCAAGTCCAATTACCCGGCCTTGCCCCATATCCCTTGATAGCCTGGACCTAATAAATATCTATCCACTTCAGTCTTGAAGATGTGAATGGATCTGCCATCCACTGCCTTTTTGGGGGAGGGAGAGTTCCAGATTTCCACTACCCTTTGGGTCCAGTATCTAGTCTCGGCTTAGAATTCAGTTCGCTATTGCTCTTAAGGATCTTAACGGAAAAAAACGGCTTCAGAATGAAAGCTGTATTTTAAGAATTAGCCTTCATTCTCGAACGCTCTGAAGCGCTCCCAATCAATAAGAGAAAATCTCGGCTGGGGCTGAATTTCTCCCTCGGCCTTCCTTAATTTCACGCTCTACGATTGAAACCGAGACCAGAGACGACGTACAACTTCAGCAAAAAGTAATCAGAATCTACCTCGCGACGTACCCAGGGTCAGGACGGGATTGAGTTCAGGCCTTGTGGAGGACAGTGGTTAAATTGCCTGATCTCAGTTTGTATGTGCACCGGCTTATCAAAGGTCCCCATTTCCCCCCACGACATGGTGACGTTCTGTACGCTGTGCCCGTCTCCCCACACAGTACCTGTCTGTACGCTGCGCTCCCCGAGCCCTGTCACTGCTCCCCAAGTGCTGGTGGTGAAGTTAGATGTTAATGTAAGAGTTGGGGAAAAAAAATAAAAGAACTTATTAGACTTTTCTACCGGCGTATGTTAACGTCTCGACGCACTTTGTCGTCGTGCATAGTGGGGGACACGATGCAAGGAAGGCAGGGGGAGCTGTCTGCCTGGAAGAAGACTCATTGGTGGGGGGGGGTTGGGGGGGAAAGCTCTGTGGTATGGTGGTTCGTTCAGTTTGACCGTTAAGCGCTCCGAGGCGCCGCCTGGGGTGAAGGGCGCTCTATCAATGCAAGCTGTTGTGGTTGACGTCAAGTGCAATCTGATTTTAGTGCAAACAGGAAGTCTCGGAAGTGCTGGTGTTGGAATGAACGTGATGATTATTAACCAGTGTAATCCCAGAAGTCGCTGACGAGTGAAGTCAGAACCTGACGGGGTGAGGTGAAGGCGGGGAGGGGGTGGGGGTGGGAGTGGGGGGGGGGGGGTTCAGCGAAGCTCAACTTATCTGCCAAAATCGGATCTTTTCAAAAAAAAAAAATACTTTTGAAAAAGATCCAACTCTGGGAGAATCAATAGTTCACCGGGTGCCATTGATGCATTCCAGCCCGAGCTGGGAATAAATAGTGTTTATAAGCAGCTGAGGGACGCTGGCACGTTCTCCCAATTTGGTCCCTTTCCTCTTTTATCAATGACCACGTGCGCACAAAAGCTGAATTGTTACAATCCGTCGCAAGTCGTGGTCTCTCGCACACGAAAAACATTTCCCCGCAGAGCTCTGGAAGTTCCTTGAACCACATTTCTTAACCAATAAATAGAAATAAAAACTAAGCAGCGGCACGTGGACAGGACGGAGCGATGGTTTTTTTGGGGGGGGATAACTCGGGTTAAGTTCGATGGGAACGTAAAAAGGGGAAGCTGTTTCAGCCCCGGGATGTGCCGTTGGGAAACCGAAAGGACAGAATAAGAAGTTCTCCTTGCCAGGACTTGTGTCTTAGATTTTCCCAACAAAATTGTGCTTCGTATTTTCAGTGTTAGGAGGCAGGTATCCTAACGTGTTGAGTGTGACCAGATCCGCCATGGCTCCCACCACGTGTAAACATCTCCGTCCCGAATCGTGTCCACATCAGATGGTTTTATTACCGGAAAGGTCAACTTGGGTCAAATGTTGGAGTCAGTCTCAGGCTCACAATCTGTTGCTCACAGCGTGCATCTAGGAACACACCTTGGACAGTGATAATGACTCACTCACTGCTCCTTGTTATACGACAAGAAACCAGTGTGGAGAGATTTGCTGTTAGCGCAAACATTTCAATCATGACCGACAGTGATCAGGTCCACAACGGCCTGGACTTTATCACAAAATGCGGACGGAGCTTGGCTTTGGCACTGGGACCATTCTCACATTACAGTTTCGAACCAACATCTCAGCCAGTTAGTCCATCCCTTCTCAATGTCCACCTCCCACGTGTTCTCTCTCCTCTCTCTTCTGTCTCACTCTTCTCTCTCAGCGAATGAGCACGTGAATGACTTGCAGAACGTTGTACGTCAATCTGGCCGTTGAAAGTTGGTCCAATTTGGTGTTAAGTTTACCCCCCACATCTGTTGTGTTGTGTGCAGATAGAGTGCGCGCACCCATCTCACTCCACCTCCACTTTCTGGCAACCTGAAACAGTCATTAATTACCATATGGCTGAAGAAAACCTTCCTGGTGTCTGTCTTGAAATTACCCTTTTACAACTCTAAACCCGTGGCCTCTTGTTCTACTGTCTTGGGTGCATCCTAAAGTATCGGTCTGGGCTTGCTTTTTCAATCCCATTTAAAATGTTATAAACCTCTACAAGGTCCTGTCTGCGACGCCTCCTTTCAAGACTGAAGCTTGTCTAAACAACGCTCAAAGCTCATTCCTCTAACGCGAGGGCCCATGTCGTTGCTCTCCTCTGCTCTACTGGGACGTTACTCTGCATGAAAGGCGCTATACGAGTGCCCGTTGTTGTTGTTGTTGCACCGCCTCTGGGGTCTGAGCCTTTATCGTCACAGTGACCAGTATTGAAAGTCAAGAGTATGGAAGTCTGAACTCAACTGAATTAGTAATCTAGCCCAGCATCCTGTCCGCCTTGTTTGTTGGTGCCTCACGCTGTTTTGACACAGTGAGTGAGTGATGAATCAAATAACACCCCCAGATTTCTTTCAGTGTCGCCTCTTGGCAAGTTCAGTCCCATCCACGGAGGACTTGTGCTTCTAATTCTTCTTTACGGGGAGCAGCCTGCATTTATCTGTATTTGGGACGTCCATTCTGACGTGAAAGGCGTTGTATGAATGCGGTGGTGGCGGCGGTTGCTGTATTGAACTACATTTGCCCGTTCTCAGCCCATGTGCATGCAGAGAGAGAGAGAGAGAGAGAGAGAAAAAGGGTGGGGGAAGGGGAAAGAGAGAGAGGAACATCCCCTCTGTGGGCTAAATGTCAGCTGCAGATAACAGGCAGCGTTTAAATCACTTCATCCAGTGCAACATTTTTGTTTCGTTCCATTATTCACGTCATAATTCAAACCGACAGCTCTGCCCACAGTGAGCAGAAACACAGCTCCTCCGCCGGGCTCAGTCTATTTACCAAGTCATATCATTGCTGGTATCTGTCTGGCAATCTGTGTGTGGTCACCTGGCTTTGAGTCTGACCTTGTGTGTGTCCACCCCTCTATGTGCGTGTCTGTTAGTGTGTGTACGTGTGTGTCTGGTCTGCCTGTCCGTGTGAGAGTGCAAGTGTCGCCGTCCACCACCTGTGTGTGTGTCTGTGTGTCTCCATGTGTACACACTTGTCTGTGTGACTGTGTCAGTGCTTGTGCGAGCGTGTGATAGACTTGTGTGTCTGTCTGTGTGTGTGTGTGGTGTGTGTGTGTGCGCGTCTGCCTGTCTGACTGTCTCCTGTGAACGTGTGACAGATTGCGTGTCTGCCTGAGTGCGCGTGTGTTGCGTGCTTGTCTGTCTGTGCGTGTGTGTAGCATGTGCATGTGTGTGAGCGGCGTTTCCATGTCCCTGCTGTGGATATGAAATGAATTTGCTCAGTGCCACCCGCTCCCTGCGGTGAGGGTCGAGCAGACATGCCGCGTTTGCGCTGAAGTAAGTAAATAACTGCTGTTTAGTGGGAGCGATGGACTGCACCGTAGCTGTTTCAGACGGAGAGAGACATGAGGTGGGATCCCCGGGGAGGTGAAGCTCCTCGTTCAAACCATGTGGACCACAGGCTTCCGGGCAAGTTGAACCGGACATTCAATCAATCTTTCATCGCTTGCGTAAACGACGGTGCGATAACTCACTATTGCTCACTTGGCCTCATCACATGAGTCCACACTGACCCCAGTACACGCGCTCTTCTCTTCCCAAAACACAGTCCGCATCGCCATGGAGCTGTACCTCTGCCTGTGTCCTCTGCAGGGGGTGGGGGCGGTGGGGGGGTGGGAGAGGAATGCCAAGCACCAGGACGCGGCTTCCTGCCGCACCTCAAAGGTTTGGCAACGCAGCTCCGATAGGCCATTTCATTCTGTTTAGCCACGTTCCGTCACACAGTCCGTCCTTTCGTGCTCACAGAACCGTGAGCTACATAATCTGGAAATGGTGGTGGGCAGTTCAATTCCATTCTGCGTAAAGTGAAGGGACAGACAGGGCTCTCCAGACATTCGCCTGCCGTTGAGAGAAAAGAAAAATAACGTCAGTACGTTGAGTGCAAAGCTCACCTGACGGTTATCGAAGATCGGGGCAGAGGAACGAAAGGCTTGGCAGCTGATGGTGGGGGTGGAGAGGGCTCAGGGCTGTGTTACCTGCGCAATCAGTTCGCTTATTTTATATCTCCAGGTTTGGATCGGTAAAGCCCTTCTTGCCCTCATTGACCAGCACAGGTTTCTCAGTCCGTGTGTGCCACACAAGTATCTGTAAGAGATGAAGGCTTCACGTGAAGTCCGCAAGATACGCGGGTTTAGATTATCACCAGTTCCTTAAAGAAATCTCCGCAAAGGGAGATGGGCTCAGCCACAGCCCTGAAGCACCAGGTGCAGTGATGGGGCAGATTACAAATTGCTAAAATATAATATAATAACAATCCTCGCCTTCGTCATGGCCCTCGCCTTATCGGGACATTTGAGGCATCTCAAAGCGCTTCACAGAATATTTTATAAAGGGTAGTGACTGTGTATTTTGCGGGCGAAACGCGGCAGCCAATTGCGCACAGCAGCGTCCCACAAACAGTCGTGGGTTGAGCGAACAAAATTTTTTTTGTGGGTGGGGGGGGAAGGGAGGGAGAGTATTATTACCCCCGGAAAGCGATCCGTCAATCGCCCAACAACCAGGTTCCTACTCAATGCAAGGTAAACAGAGGTGGGGTGGAGTAAGGAAACTTGTCTGACGTTTCGCCCCCATTCGGGAATCAAACCCAGTTTGCCAGGCGAGCGGATAACTCCGGGAAAAGACAAGTCTCCCCAGTGACCGGCGCACACTGCCCGTCTCTGTCGAGAAAACGTTGACGACAGCCTGTGGGAACTGGTGACTGCCCGAGCGCACTGAGGAGGTGTTGCAGTGATTTATGTTGTATATTTAAGGCTGTAAAGTGGCAGAATTAATCACTGTATTTCTGTTGGAAATTACACTGTACATGTGACCTGCTGGAGCTGAACTTAACAGACAGTGTTTTACATAAATCCTTAAATCGATAATTGTTTTTTCTTATACAGCTGGAGCTCAAACACATTGCAAGCTCGTTCCTGTCTCCATCCTTCAGTAGTTTTATATTGAGTGGAAGTCATAGCTAACATCAGCATCTGCCTCATCACGGTCTAACGCCTCATGACAACAATCAGACATTATTATAACTATATGTACATTGCGCCTACAAAATATACAGTCAATCCACTTTACAGTATATTCTGTGAAGCGCTTTGATGGGATAAGGCGCTATATCAAATGCCAGGATTATTATTATTATGATATTCTGTGAAGCGCTTTGAGACGTCTCAAAGACATGATGAGGCGCTGCTTCAAATGCAAGGATTATTATAATTACTATTATTTATTAAACGTTTCGCCCACGAGACGTACCTTAGTGCAATTGGCTGCTTTGGGCTCCAGATCATTGAGTGTGACCAGCTCCCGCAGGAGGCTGCTCTCCTGATAGCCGCCTTTGACCCCACGCAGCTTGAAGTAGGCCTGAGGTCTCTGAAGGACCAGGTGCAGGTTGATAGCGAAACCCGCCATGTCTATGGCGAACGGTCGATGTGGATCGAACACCGTTTTCCAGCCGTAAACCTTTCCGGCGGCGTTCACCTTCGGAGACTCATAGCGCAATCCCCCCACGAAGGCCACGGGCCAGACTGAGACTTTCCTGGTGCTGCGCATCTGAAGTGAGAGAAGGAACTACATAAGAACATAAGAAACAGGAGCAGGAGTAGGCCATTCGGCCCCTCGAACCTGTGCCCCGCCATTTAATAAGATCGTGGCTGACCTTCAAGCTCGTCACGTTCTGCCAATGCTGAGAAGATGAAACCTCGTGCACTTCTGCGAAGGGATTAACATTCCCATCTAGGGCTGGGCTTGCGCTCTGTGCTCAGAGCCACAGGTCTAAGCGGTGGTTAGTTGACTCATTGCTTCCAATGTCAAAGCAGTGTGAGGCAGCAATAAAGAAAGCAGATGCTGTGAGCACGGAAACCCAGCGGGCAACTAAAGACTAGAACAGGGTACCAGATGGGTTGGTTGAGGCCAGGACTCAGTTGAGGGAGGTTGAGGCCAGGACGTTGAGAATCATTTAAAAACACAGCTTGATGTTATGATGGAAGATGATAAGTGTGTGGGAGTTCTGGAAGAATGATATCAAATGGGCCAAAGGGCCTTCTTCATCCGAACAACCTCGCGTCCTTGAAAGGACTAAATTGCCCTTCGTTGCTCTCTTGTATGGTTAATGACGGTTGGAAACTATTCTCTGCATTGTTAGAATCTTAATGGGACCCACGTTGTTCTCAAAGTTGAGGCATGATCGCTCTTATTAAGTTAACTTGTAAATTAAAGCGTCCAGATATCAAGCGTAGGTATTGCTGCTTCAGCTATTCTTTGGAGATCAAGTGCGGATATTCAAATAGCATCACTTAAGTGGCAGTAATGAATCTTTGGGTAACTATTCCACACGGGGCTTCCTGGGGACCACTCAGAATTAGAACTGCAAAGTATCTGGGAGCCGGGCTTACGATGTGCAATGGAGGAAACTGTTCCGGGAAGCGTGTTAGCGAGGGGATATGATACCGAGTTTGAATTCTCTCCCCATCATCCCCTCTCGTTTCGAAATCGACTTAAGCCGACGTGTCAGCGAGCTTGTCACAGCAGGCGCCACCAACACCATTCACGCCGACGCACGTCCCCAGGGGCTGTAAATATTACAGGCGAACACGCACGAAGTACATCTGCCTGTAACATTTGCCTGTGTTGTGCGAGCCGGTCAAATTAGTGCCCGTGGCTGGTTCTATCGGACGCTCTGCCTTGCGACTCGCAGATGGTGACCAGCCATCAGGCACATCACGCGGACGCCGTAACACGGGAGACTCTAGGCGTTATACCCTGTGGACACCGTAAGACACGCGCGCGCACCAGAAGCCACAGCCTTGTTACCTCCTCGAACAGCTCCAAGCTGTAGGTGTTGTCGTCGTCCCCGAAGTACACGACCCCGGGCCGGGACCTGTTCGGGTGGAAGGTCTCCCGCAGCCAGCGCAGGGCCAGGTTCCGCTGCATGGTGCCCCGCGGGAAGCGCGGGTTGCGGACGTCCCCCCGCAGCTTGTAGCTGCGCGGCGTCTCCACGTTCAGGTGCGTGTAGTTGAGGCCCGTCTCGCGCAGGAGCCGGGTGACCAGGGCCGTCCTCCTCTGGGCGTCCTCCACCAGGATCCAGTGCAGGTTGGGCACGTGGAGCAGGGTGTTGGTCAGGCGGGTAAGCTCCGCTTTCTGGACGGGCCGGTTGTAGGTGGGGGTGACGACGTGGATGGCGGGAAGGGCGTCGGACCAAGGCGGAGGCCGCGTGTACACGTACTCGGTCCTGAGCACCTCCACGATGCCCCTGTCGGACGGGCAGGACTCCTTCCAGTCCGAGGTCTGGACTGCGTCTCTGCGGACGCTGATCTCGCTACCATCATCTGCCGGGGGGTGGGGAACAGGGAAATCAACCCACGTTAAAAGCCACGTTGATGCTGGATTAATGTCCCCCACCCCACCCCCACCCCCCCCCCGCCAATTAATCAGTCGCCGAGTGTGTAATACTCTTAATTCTTACCCCCGGCTGAAGGGCCCTACGTAAGCGAAAGCTGTCGCGGCGGCTGTCGAGGCATCGCAGAGCGCTTCACGGGATTACCCCGTCAAGTGTAGTGACTGTGCACGAAACCGGCAACTCACCCCTCCGAAGGGTGAGGAGGGGAGACAGCGTGTTCTGGTGCCAAACGGTAATGAGCAGCGTCCAGGGCAAGACGATCAGTACAATGGCGAGGACGTCTCGTCTCTTCGGCATCTCCAGGGCTGGTCCCGAGCCTCTTCATCACCTGCAACGAACCCACGGTCACCCTCCCCCTCGCTCACAGCGACATCGCTCCGCGCAACCCGGCAGCAGCACAGAGAGCCAGACGTTCGACGACCACAACAACAACAAATGATTTACACGGCGCCTTCGCACAAGAGAGGATGTCCGCAAGGTGCCGGACAGTCAGGGGTTGGATTAAGTAGGGGCGGAGGGCGGGCAGGGAGGGTTCGGGGTAGGAGTTGGCCAAAGGCGCGGTCGGAGAGGAGGGTCTTAAGACGGGCGTAGCGGGGCAGAGCTGTGTCCTGGGCTCACCTCTCACACGCACTACAGCCTCGGTAAGAGTCGGCAGAGGTGGTTGGGGACAGCAGTCTGAAATCTGGAGCGGAACACAACACAAGATGTCATCGCCACACAATAAAACACCGTCCGTCTCAAGCTTCGTTCAGCGCCCAAGCGCAAACAAACCAATAGAGACGTGAGCCTGATTCTCAGCGGTGTTTGGAAAGCGCGGAGCGAAGCCTCTCGCTCGGCACCAGATTCTGCCTGAACGTTTGCAGAGTTTTAATGACCGAAACTTACAACAATTTGATATTATTATAAATAACATAAACGATAGAAACCCCTGATCGCAGCGCCGATGTGTCTCGAACTGCTTCGCAGAATTTGACTGCAGCATTTCTCGGCAATATCGCGCTAAAGTGACCGATTTTACTTTGGGCGTTGCTGGCCACCAGACCCCGGGAGACACCTTGCCTCCTCCATATCCTCCTACGCGTGCGTGACTTTATATAAAGCAAGTTATAATAATAATAATCCTTGCATTTGATATAGCGCTTTTCACATCTTCTCGACGTCTCAAAGCGCTTCACAGAACACACTGTAAAGTGAATTGACCGTATATTTGTGGGCGAACGCGGCAGCCAATGGCGCACAGCAATGTCCCACAAACAGTCGTAGATTGAAAACGACCAATTTATTATTGTTTGGTTTTGGAGGGATTATTATTAGGCTCTGTGTGGAGTAAGGAAACTTGCCCAAGGTTTCGCCCTCTGCCTGGAATTGAACCCAGGTGTCTCGCTTGCCAGGCGAGTGGAACTCTATCCCCCAGTGCCTCCTCCCTTTCCTCCTTCAAGGCCGGTCTCAAGACCTTTCTCTTTGACCGTACCTTCAGCTCCCCTCTCGACTCTCTAACCCCTCCTCGCTCCCTCCCTTCCCTCCCCTCACCCTGACCATTTCCCCCCAATGCTCGGGTCCTGACCCAACTGTACAGCGCCTTGGGACGTCCTCCCGACGTGAAAGGCGCTCAATAAATGGAATCTTGTTGTTGTTGTTGAGTGCTCTACTCACTGAGCTACAGGACTCCACAAAAAGTTGTTCTTTGTTCAAGCTCCATTCGCTTGTACCCACCTCCCTTCGCTGCTCATCGGCTTCACGACGCGAACGGCTTCGATGCCCGTCCCAGCTGCCGGCTACTCGCTGGGAACGCTACGTCCTCTGGGCAGACATTTGCTCTCGTGTCTCGGGCCGGGCGCTCTCGTTCGATGGCAGTCGCGCACGGGGGTGTCCCGCGTGGCGGTGCGTGCTCCTGCGGGTGGGCGCGTTGCTGTCACGCAATCGGGCGCGCTTCCGCGCGGTGTCGCGTGCTCGGCCGCGGTAACCTGGGCTCGCGCGCAGCAGCGCGGGCTCTTGCGTGATGGGTGAGCGCAGGTGGCACAATCCCCCTTCTGGCGTCTCAGGAGGCAGGGCTTAGCCGGCTGGTGCTCCGAGTTCATCTGCGGAGAGAACGTTAACCATCAGCATCTAATGCAAACCCCCCCAACCCCTCTCCCCCACCCCCTCAGCCACAGTTCCGCTCAAGCCATGGGTTGGGAGTAATATTTTTTTATTTATTGATTGATTGATTTATTTTGGAGGGATTATTAGCCCCCGATAAGCAGTCCGACCAATCAACTGGGGGGTTGCTCTCCTTACTGCTGGGTTAAACAGAGGCACGTGTTCGGAGTAAGGAAACTTGCCTGAGGTCTCGTCCTGCCCGGGAATCGAACCCGGGTCCTCTCGCTCGCGAGGGGCGAGCGCTCTAACCACTGAGCTACAGGGCTCCACGATGAAGTGCTGGCCATATTTTTCTCCTCTTGCACACACACACACACACACACAGAGGCAGAGTGCCTAATTAAGCGCCGGATTATCTCGGAAGCAGCCCTTTCCAGGAACGAGATCCCCTGTGTGATATCGGAGCTGAAGCGAGGTGCGCCCTTCATCCTGCCAAAAAATGCCCTGCGTCGTAAACCGTGCATCTTAAAGGATTAGCCGCGTCGGGTCTCCGTGGTAACGTGACGCGGCAAAATCTAAACCTGCCCGAGGAAGGAACCTTCTCGCCAACAAATGCGACGAGTAATTCAAAGGCTTCCAGTGTTCGCAGTGTGCGCTCCAGCCAACCTTGCCGTTTCTAGGACCACACTAATGGATGTGCTGGCACGCTGAAGGGTTTACAGTCCGCGGGATGCAGTGCGCGTGATCTCCAGAGCGAAGGTTTCACCTCTAATGGTTTCAACTTCCACAGAGCAATGACCAGCCCTTTCTCTCCTGATACATTAGCCCCCGGGACTCATAGAAAATCTATGGACGGCAGCGATGCAAACGTCAATCACTTAAGAATTAATACAATCAACCAGTGAAGCATGAATGAATAAATGAACGAATGAACGAATGAATGGCATCGCACATCCTATCCTATTCTCCAGCGACAAGAATTTGGTCGATCTTAGCCAGGGCAGGATTCAGGGATTGTGTTTTAGGGAGGAAGGGTGTTGGTGGTGGCGCGGGGGGGTGGGGGGGGTGGCATGTCGACATTGTGTGAGGTCAGGGTGGTGTTCTTTTAGTCGATTGGCAATTGGCTGCCGCGTTTCGCCCACAGAACACACAGTCACTACGCTTTGCAGTATATTCTGTTAAATTTTGAGACATCTCAACGACGTGATAAGGCACTATATCAAATGCAATTATTATTATTATTATTATTATTAAGCACCAACTATTGTGCAGAACCTGGAGTGAAAACACAGAGAGAACTCATTTATCGAGAAGTTCCAGATCAAGGACACTCTTTCTCTCACTGACTCCCAACTCAACAGTAAAAAGATATCTTTCATTTGCTTTAACGTCCATTTGATTCATTAGTCTCAGTGAAAAGACTTAACTTAACGGATAAAATTAGAACCCAGTCATGAAAACGACTCCCATCCTTTGAGGATGAGTCTCAACTGGAACTTTTATCTTCTGGGGATGAAAAGAAAAAAAAGATTCCGAAGGATTAAATTGGAAGGTGTTTGGTATCCCGGAGTCACAGCCATCAAGAGATTCCGACTGAAATGAGGTCGATATCTAATACTTTTTATGCAAAGTAATCTCTTTCTTTCTTGTTCACTGCAGCGCTCAGTAGTGCTCTGTGCAATAAATGTTGAATGAAAAACCGACTACAAACAGATTCGCCATCGTTCCAACTTTCAGCTAATTCTTAACTGATTCTGCACCTGGTACCGAACTGGCCATCAGCTTTTTCTTTAAAGACTGAGGATAAATCGCTCTCTCAAGCTCACTGTGTGTTGTGACCGTACAGGATAAGCAATGAACCTTTGATGACAGTGAGAAGAGTCCACACAGTAAACTCCGGGTTTACCGGACTCCGGGATCCGGTGTTGAGACCGAGACAGACTGGACCCCGAACCCGAAAGCATTTTAAAAAGGGCATTTACCGTCATTTTTCGAAACAGAGTAGTGGTTAGCGTGCTCGCCTCGCAGGCGAGAGTTCCCGAGTTCGATTCCCGGGCAGGGCGAAACCTTAGACCCGTTTCCTTTTACCGCATCTGTTTGCCTGGCAGTCAGCAGGAAACCCCGCTTTTTTAGTTGAATGACGGATCGCTTTCCGTGGCTGGTAAGCCTTCAAAAAAAAGTGGGGGTCAATCAATCCGCGACCGTTTGTGGGACGCCGCTGTGCGCAATTGGCTGCCGCGTTTTGCCCACGAAATACTCAGTCAAATCCACTCTGCGGTATATTCCGTGAGGCGCTTTGTGACGTCTCAATGAAGCAATAATGAGCTATAGCAAATACAAGAATTATTATTATTATAATTCTTATTAAATAATAATAATTACACACAGTTGTAAATACACTTGGCTGGAAATTCTGGCTCGCTGGATCGACTGCTCTAACCACTGAGCTACGGGATGGGCCACTAGTTGCAGTGTATGGACTATGTGCCCGGGTTCTCAATAATAAGGAAGATTTATTGCCCCTGTAACTACCACCCACAATCAGCCCAAACATCTGTGGTGTCAGTATGGCTGAGAGAGCAGATTTGGTGCTGAGACGTATTAAAGAGGTACAAAACTACTGATCGATCGCTGATGGAATTCTAATATCCAGCTCTGTGCACAACCAAATAAAATCTTTAATCAGTATATCTGACGGGCAAAGCGCACGGAAGGGGACTGCTGCAACGCCTCCCCTACCAACCCCACCCCACCGGCCCCTCGCACCCCCCCCACCACCCCCACCACCCGCAATAAATGAGGAGTACAAAAACTGGGAGACGTTAAGCAGCCAGCGGAAGGGGGAGAAGAGAGTCTGGGACCATCTGCCTTTGCCGGAGAGGGCAAACTGGCGTTTTCTGGCCCGAAGGACAATGCGTCAATTCTTCGTGCGTGTGTCATGAAAGAAATCTTTCTTTCAATAAGCGGCGGATTAAATGCACCGAAAGAGCTGCAAGTCGATGTGGAATATCGTGACTCAGCGGATTAAACGGATTCTTTGACATCTTTTTCGTTGGGCAGACTTAACGCCGCTGCTATCTTTTGTTCCCCCCCCACCCGCCCCACCCTCCCACCGCCCTGTGACTCCGCATTTGCTCCTGGCTTGAAAATGAAGTCAAACAGAACCTGCGGCTGTTTTGTGGTTTCGCTGAGGGTCCAAAGTGTAAAGGTACAATAACAACATA